AGTACCAGCTAGACCACTGAGAATGGTCCGGTGACATAACAATAATAGTAGGTTCTTGTTCCTTGATGATCCTAAGAAGATTGGAGCGACCTTGCGGTTGCTCAAGATCTAGACCGCTACGCAAATCGACTGGCTGACCTACTCGAAGACCTGACAGGGCAGCTTTGTGACTCATGCGGGGAGATCCGCCGTAGAGTTCTAGGAAGTCAATCTTCCCAGTGCTGGTGACCTGCCAGTGACACTCTTGATGTGGAATCGTTAGGTCTGTCGACTGCAGGGAAGCATCGAAGGTGACCATGCAACTTGCGTGGTCAGAACCTTCTGACGTCAGAGTTTCCTCATCAGGCGCGAGAGGAATCTCCACATCAGATGTTATGTCATAGTTTTTCCTCAGTTTTGAGATATTGACGCGGACGATGCGTGTTCCAAGATCCACACCTACCATGGATCCTCCGAGTTCGGAGATCACCTTTCCTTTTAGCCAAGATCCATGTTTGGACCCAGTGGATCCAATCTTAGACTTATCTTCTGACCAGTAGAAAACCTTATCTCCCAAAGAGAAAGGTCCTTGGGTCATTGACAGTCTGGCTGCAAGATCTCTACGCAGATCATCAGATTGGCGTGCCTCTTGGTAAGCCCTGTTGGCAAGCTCCTTAATGGCTCTCGCAGTGACTTCCGTATCAGTTGGATTACCTGTCAACTGATTGGGATCAGCGTTCTCTGGTGTTATAACATCTCGAGGACGCCTTCCAAAGGCCATTTCTAAAGGAGTAACTCCTCCGTAGGTAATCGAAGAGTTTCTTGCCAAACATGCTTGGCGAACGAGGTTGCCATACTTCATGGTGATTCCGTTATACTGCGGGTCACCATCCTTCAGAATCTGAAGTATGAGCTTAATCTGATGCTTCAGCAATCTTACAGCAGCTTCGGCCCTGTTGGGCCATGGTGTTCCAGGTCCTGTTGCCACAGGCTTGATATTCTGCCGATTGTAATAAGCCTCCATTTTTGGAGTCATGAATGCTTGATCTCCAACTACAACCTTCGGGTTGATCTGAAATTTCTCAAAGTAGTCATTCATAATCGACATTGTAGTATGTTCTTCTTTATCTTGGACTACTTCGGCAGTCAACAAGTTTGTTGCTCCATCATAGAGGATAAGAAATACTAAGCGACTATCCTTGCCGGGAATTGGAAGCTCACCGTGATCTACGAAGGTGAGATCACCGAAAGTCTCTGATCTTAAACCAGAAATCTTCGCTCTTGAAGGAGCTCTCACATGTTCCTGGCAGGCTGAACACTTTTTGACCAGTTGGTCATATAGCTCGTATATCTCCTTTGGGATCTGTAAGGCTTTTGTGCGTCGCTTGAACTGATCCGTACTCATATGACGGTGCTTAAGGTGAAGCTTATAGAGTTCTACAGGGTCCTTAAGCTTCTCATGAATCCTGCGAAGAGCAATGGGAAGAGATGGCGATGGTTCTGCAACAATCTCTTCACCTGTAGGTGAGTCTGTACCAGGAGCCGGGTATTCTCTTGACTCAAGTGGTCTTACCTCCGTCCCGTCATCAGCTCCTGGGACCTTAGACTTCTCTTCAACAGGAGATTTAACCGCATATTTGCGGGATTTCTTCAGAAGGTTTTTAAGACCCTTTGGAGTCTTTATCTTCGCAGGTGGAACCTCAAGTCTTTCTTCTTCTGGAGGTTCATGTGGTGCAGAGGATTCTGCAGGTTTGTCCCTAGAGCCTGATGATGGTTCCGATGGTCCGGAAGGCTCAGGAGCATCACCAGATGGTTCTGGTGGATCAAGTTTCTTGGCAGATGATTCTGCCGGATCAGATGGAAGAGGCTTCTTTTTACCTGAAATCCTCTTCGGTGGTGGATCAGCTGCTCCCTCAGGTGCTTTGTCGCAACCCTTGAGATACGTGTGAGCCCTTTTCTGTCCGGCACAGGCTGGACAGCGACCTTCCGGTATCCTAGTATAAGGCTTATTGGCTCCTAGAGCAGTCTCCGTCGCACTGAACGACGTACCTGACTTAGGGAGATACTTCCTGGTGGAAGTGAAGCCTAGAAGGTCCAATACCAAATGGTTATTGGTACTAATCGGAAGAGGGGTTTTATACAAACCGAAAGCTTCACACGTTGCTAGGTCAGCTGTGGACTACACTCGAGGGTCATTCTTAAATTCCTCATCTGTTCGATGGAAAACAAAATGGGAACTCTCCCCTGATCCAAAACTTCTATGGTTGTATCTCTTCTTGGAGTTGTGTTGAACCATAGAGTTACACGCTCCTTGATAAGAGCTGTTTCACTATCTGCGAAAGAGAACTTCGTGTTCGAAGGTGAAAAAGTGAAATCAATCATGCCTGGGGCATGTTGCTTCACGGCCTTGATAAGCCTGTTCACCGCATAGCGGGAACCCATAGCCCTAGTACAACCTGAGTCAAGTATGACAAAGGTAGGGCTCTTATCAAGATTGATCCGCTCTGTGAGAGCAGATAGGACGGTGTGCTGCAACGGAAACACTGCTGTTGCAGTCTCCACACCTTGCCCCTCGGATGGTTCAAGACCTGGGGCATGTAACTCACTGATGAGTTGTACACGGGTTCTTGGTGCGCGCTCGGATCTGTGCCTCTACCTGATGATCCTGCTTGATTTCTTCTCTTCTTTCTCCGTGTCTTTCTTCGTGAGGCTTGTGATGCATAGTAAGTATAAGACGTTTGATCGTCATAAGCGGCATAATTCCAACTGGAGTCAGTATAATAACTGTCCTCATACCATGAATCCCAGCTCGGTGCGGTGGAACTTTCATAGGCCTGTGGAGATCCAGTTTGGTCTCCTTGTAAGGAGGCAGACTTAGCTGTATCCTTACCTTTGCCTTTTGATTTTGTACCCTTGAAGGAGCTTCCTTTATCTCCTTTGTCCTTTCCTTTTCCTTTGCCTTTTCCACCTTTTCCTTTTTCCTTTCCTTTACCTTTACCGAAATAGCTGGAATCAGTTGGATCATGTTCTGCCTGGTTGGCTCTCCCTTTTCCGCGGTATGACCTAAAACGGCCACGTCCTTTTCGCTTGCCACCCTTTGCTCTTCCCGGTGATCCGGGACGCATTCTTGGTCTTCTTCCCTTTTTGAATCTCCTTGCAACGAAGGCCTCATGGTCGTCAACTGTCCAGAAGACAGCTTCTTCATCCTCGGCGGCAAGAAAGCCTTCCTCAAGGGTGTCTTCGTCTTGGAGCCAGAATCCATCGACTCCGTCGTATTCACCCTGATCGAGGATGAGGAAGTTTCGACCTCCGCGTTTGCGGCGTTGATCTCTCCTTCCATGGCGGTCCTTCTTGTGAGAAGAGTGCCGAATGTTGGGATCCTGCAGACCAGTTCTGGTCGTTGAGAACTGATCGAACATGGTCTGCCGTACCACAGGGTACGTATAGGTCTCAATTCGGTGACCTTGGTTGGTCAATGCTGTTACCAACCTCTCACGTTGCATCTCATTCAGGTCGGACTGCACTAGGAAGAGAAGAGCTAGGAGATTATCATTTAGAGGAAACGCTCTTCGATGATTATCAAGGCGTTCCTTGTTCCATGTTTCGAAGAAACGTGCGGCGTATGTGTCTCTCTCGGTTGCATCCTGTAGGCGCAAGAAGGTTTGATCTGCCTGCACAGCCTGCATGAAATCTGGATGGGCATCTTCCAGAGCTATCTCTGGTAAGAGATCCATCCATGAGTTTTTCACGCGCTGTAGCACGATCTCAAACTTAGCAATCCAAGTCACAAAGTCTTGGTTGCCCTTCCATGCCTTGAATAGGCCGAGGAAACGCCACAGGAAAACGTACTGTTCTCCTTTCACGAAAAATGGACGCATCTTCTTCTTGAAGTAGTCTACTCCATCTGGGGCTGCAAGCCTTTCTCGGTTCAGTGATTCTTTTTGTACTGCGGCCAATCCGGAGAGCCTCGTCTTGAGAGACGGACCTCTTTTGGTGTCATCCAGCGTTGTTATGTCGCACCAGTCGTCAATCAACTGTTCATACTCAAACCACGAGGTGGTGCCATCATAGGCAGGCGCGATCTTGGGCGTTATGCCTAATGATGCAAGCATGCGGTCAGATGTTGCATATGACTGTGCGACATAAGTGGCTGGACCTTGGGAGGTCTCTTCGTTCTCATATCCCCCGGAGGATTGGGAACTGCCGTCGGCTTCGCTATGCGAGCTCGACATTGTGCTGCCTCTTATCCGCTTGGTTAAGCGTTCGGCGAGGCCGACCGCTGTAGCGGACTTTGTGAGGCGGGCGGCCCTTTCCGGGCTCCGCTACCAGAAAACTGTGCCGATACACCCCCAAGGGATACTCCTTGTGAGGAGGTGTATGACCAGTTATTCCCTAAGGATCAAAGGGCAGCGCCCTGCACACGGACAGTAGTTGTTTTGTCTTGCTACGCAAGGAGAGCTTGTCTTGTCTCAATATGGTAAAACCACTGTGAGCCAATGGGCAGCGGAATGTATATGTATGAGCATGCAGCCATTGCTGTAGGTACCTGTTAGAGCTACCCCTTTAGAGGTTTATGGTTTCACCCCCCCCTCCCGCCCCCCACACTCCCCCTTCCCTCCCACCCCTCCTCCGCCTCGCTGACAGGTGCGAGCTTTCTAGAGTTTTCGACGACACGGGACTGCAATGTAGCATCTTTATGTGCGTCTCAGGCTTGTTTTAGACGCCCTTTCGTTGGGATAGGCGGAGTAACGTGGTTGAAAAGGCTGTGATGCTTCCCTAATTGTAAATCGAGGATTGAGTTTGTGTGAGCTCTTGCTGAACTCCTCTCTGAACAGTCAAGCACCCAAACCCTTTGTGAACGCAGGTCTTCCGTCGCCGTCAGGCACAAGAGTTCGTCAAGCAGTGCGAAAAGAGCACCCGTCGCTGTGCGCGGGAGGCCGGGCCGTGCCCTGCTAGCTTAGTTTGTAGATTGGTAGCGGAGCTTCGGCTCCTAGGTCCTGACTGCGCTTTTTGGTTTTGCGATGTCGCAGCCCTCGGGGGAGAGTTTCTACCGTAACCTTGGCCAACCTCGCGATGCTCCTGTACCCGATTACCCGCAAGTACCCGGTGATGGCGCTCATCCCGAACCCGGGGGCACAGGAGACAACCGGCCCTCTCGTGATGATCATGGCGGGAATCCTACGGCTCCCTCTCAGGAGTCTCAGCCTGACCCCTGGGGAGCCCGAGGCCAGGGACACGATGACTCGTGGTGGAACTGGAGTAGCAAGCAGCATAGCTGGTGGGGCTACTCATGGGGCGATGGTAGTCGATGGGGTTCCGCTTGGGAGCCTCAATCTCGAGACTACGGACGACGATGGAGTCAAGATGAAACTTGGGGAACCGGCTCTACCGAGTCGGGATCTGCGGCTGGCTGCCAGGGGAATGGCAGTGTGAGCGACGAACGACAGCATGCTAAAGACGACTCAGTTCCTCCTCCGGCACACAACGGAGGAGATCCTCAACGCGACCTCGGAGGACTTCCGGATGGATGGAAACCGACTGCCCTGCCGAGCGATCTCCGAGGGAACGCCCGCAACGGGCTCTCCGAAGGCGGGCGAGGTCCGTCAGAGAAAATGGTGGTGCCCTCCTTCTCGGGCACGGCGGACGCTGGGGATGAGAACCTGGGCCAGACGGCGAGATCTTATCTTCGCCAGATTGCGGCCTGGAGACGTATGACACGTCTCGCCCCAGAGGCCCAGGGGCTCACTTACCTCATCTCCTGGGTGAAGGACAGGTACCTGGACGTCGAGATCACCCAGGTGGGGCGGTGTCTTTCGGATTTCTTCCGGAAGTTGAGAAGGAAGCCTGGACAGTCCGTGAGAGACTATCTCTCGGACTTCGACAGAAGTCTCGCTCGCCTGAACGAGGTGGGCTGCATCCTCCCGGACCTGGCAGCAGCATGGGTGCTGGTGGATCGTATGGGCCTCGAGGAGAGTGCGGAGCTGAACTTACTGGCTTCAGTGGGGAATGTTTACAATCTCAAGTTGCTCCAGCAGGCTTCGATTGTGCAGGACCGCACATTGAGGAAGCCCTGGGAAAACTCCTCCCACGGACGGCCATGGAACAAGAAGGTGCAGTCGGCGATGATGGCTGGATCCTACGACGAGGAGGAAGCGGACGACTTCGGCGAGGAGGCTACTGGGGAGGAAGCGGACAACGGAGTCCCGGAAGCCGTCGCTTCCGAGCTCTACGAGGCCTACGTCACGCACGAGACCGCGCGCCAGAAGTACCGGGACACCCTCAAACTTCGTGGCTCTGATCCGGATGGGATGCGCGAGGCTATGCACCAGAAGCTCCAGGCGGCTAAGCAGAGGTCGTTCTGCTCGGCGTGCAAACGGCGAGGACATTGGCACAAAGATCCACAATGCCCCTTGAACCAAGGCAAGACCGCATCCTCGATGCATCCCTCTTCCACAGGTGGGACTACGGGATCTGGGTCGGGGCCATCCTCTCCTGAGAAGATTCCCAAGGTGAACTTCCCGTGCCACGTTGTCCATGTGACCTGGGATCTGAATCAGTCTGCCGAGGCTTCGTCGCTCCTCGGGATCACCGACACGGCTTGCAGCAAGAGCGTTGCGGGGGTCCCTTGGGTCGAGTCCTACCTCAATGAGGCCCGGAAGATCGGGTTCAGGCCCCCTTTTCTGGAGGCTAAGGAATCCTTCAAGTTCGGAGCCTCCCGGGTGTTCGAGGCCCTCTACAGCATCGTCCTGACGTTTGACATTGGGGGCCGCCCGATTATGGTGCGCATCTCCGTGGTCAATGGGGATGTTCCTCTGCTCCTGTCGCGCCCGGTCCTTGGGAAGCTTGGGATGGTTCTGGATGTTGATCGTAACACTGCAGACTTTCGTGAGCTACGTGTTCAGGAGCTTCAATTGGTGATCACTGACACTGGGCATCCAGCGGTGCCTGTCAAGCCGATCTATGTAGACTCTACCCTCGCCCAAGGAGGTGATTGGAATGGGCCCGAAGTGAAGATCCTCTCCGAGCGTGCGCAATATACAGTGTTTGCTCTAGAGACGGTCTGTGTCAACAATTCCGATATTCATGATGAAGCCCCTGAATCCAACGAGGTTCCCAACATTCCTCAGCCCCGTACGTCTACAGAGGGTCCCCTGCAGATCACCTACAATACACCAAGGACAATCCCGAGGCCCCGGAACGAGAACGCCAAGGACGAACCATCGATCTTCTACCCTAAGAAACTCGGTGTCGCTGTGAAAGGGATGCTGCTCGCAGACAAGCTCAGTTGCACATCGTTTATGACTTGGTGGAATAGTACTGCTACTAGCAACGACTTCTGGATTGAGGGCGAGCAGGTGTTGATTAGGGTGCACGTGATCCCTAGGAGAACCTTATTCAACCCAACGAAATGGAACACCACGTCTGTCGATCACAAGAACGCTCTCCTTCAAGTCCTTGGAAGTCTCAGGAGCACAGAGGCCATCTCGTGTAAGACCCATCGTGAGTATCATCCTGTACACGGAGGCTGGCGCGACCCCGAGGACGATACATCTCTCCCGTTGCTTTGGGTCGGAAGATCAGTTTTTAGCCGTGCTCGAATGTAGAGCAACCACGACCTTTCGAAATTCGAAAGCTCCCATGGCTTCGCGCTCGGCTCCATTGCTGACCGCGCCCACCGTGACGAAGCAGAAGACGCTGTGGGAGCTGACCAAGGACGAGCTCATCGCCGAGGCCCAAGCCAGGCACCTCCAGTACCACCCGAAGTGGACCGCTGCCGAGATCCGCCAAGTGATTCAGGAAGATCGCGAGAGGGTTTCCGGACCAACGGCAGTGGGACCGCCTCCGGCCCTCAGCAAGATGACCTTGGAGCAGCTCAAGACTGCGGTGACGGAGGCTGGACTGAGCTACCCCGAGCGGACGAACAAGGCCTCTCTCATGCGGATCCTCAGGGACAACGGCGGGATGGGAGCGCAAACGATCCTGTCCTTCGGCAGGTTCAAAGGATGTATGTACCAGGAGACAGCTCCCAGCTACAGAGTTTGGGCCATGAACGAAACCGACGCCAACCCTGGGGCCCAGGAGGACTTGAAGATGTTCGCAGCTTGGTGCCGCAGGGATCAGGACTCCAAGAGGACGGCTTCCGCCCCCGTGACGATGGCGGGCTACGTGGACTCCGAGGAGACAGCGACCGTGCCTTACACGCCGGACCCGTTCGAGCAGTGGGACATGGTGGGATCGAGGACTCCAACCTACCCGATCGGAACCTCTCCGAAGGCAACTACGCCTCTCCCGCCGAGAGGACGGAGGCCGATAACCTCATCGGCGTCATCGACCTCGGGGATGGACCAGGACGCGGACCCGGACGTGGTGGACGAGATTCAACGACTCGAACATCGCCTGGCCCTTCTTCGCGATCGCCAGGGATTGCCCCCTCGGCATTGATCGGGGAACGCCCCGGGCCCGGACACCAAGATGGAGCCGAGATCTACTACGACTGCGACGGCGGAAGCGACAAGGAGAATGGAGAGATGAGGCAGCCCCCTACGAAGTACGAGCTGGATCCCATCGAGATGAACACCTTCGGGGGCGACGATCTCCGGGACAGTCCCGGGATAGCAGGCGTTCGGACAACTACACGAAGGAGCAGCAGTGTGAATGGAGCCCCAGGTGATCACGGTGATGTCAGTCATGTCATTTCCCCGACGAAGTACCAGCATGATCCCGTCGAGATGAACACCACCGGGGGCCCCATTAAGTTTAACTTCGGTGATCTTGGCTTTGAGGACGACTACGAGGCCGCTATCAACGGAAGTCAGGACTTCGTCGAGGCGTATCACGCCAAAACCATCAGGGCCGACAGCGATGCCGTGAAGGTCAGTGGCGCAGAGTTCGATTGCGAGAACCTTGCTAAGGACCTGTATCATTCTCGGGCTTTTGGATGCGGTGATCTTCTACGGCTTTTCGAGAAGCTCCCCATGAAGGTCACCAAGCGCCACCGAGAGATCAATGCGGACGCCGACTGCAAGGTCAGGTCTTTCCTCGGAGGGATGTGGACACACGGAGGACTTCGAGGACTTTCTCATCAGTCTCGGCGACTTCCCTGGACGGTCAAGTACGTCAATAAAGCTATGAGGGAGTTGTCCTATGGAGCCTGGGGTGACTCTGTCCCTGTGTGGACGTCCTTCATCATCACCCAGAACATGCAGACCAAGCTCCACAAGGACGTCCACAATCTCCTTGGAAGCCAAGTCCTCACCATGTCCCTCGGCGAGTTTGAGAATGGACGTCTTTGGATTGAAGATCTGCCTGGAGAGTCACAAGGGGAAGCTACTTTCAGTGACAACAAGAACCACAACCTCCACGGCAACCTGATCGATACGAAGGAGAAGCCCTACGTCTTTGACCCCAAGCGACGGCACGCCACTGGAGCCTGGAGTGGAGAGCGATGGTGCATCTCCTGCTTCACTACACGGGGGATTTCTGATGCGGACCAAGGCGAACGTGACGCACTCCGCGCCATGTGTTTCCCACTACGAGGCATCGAGAAGCTGATCGCCCCAAAACCGGAGCACTACGTGAAGGCCGATCGTCCGGTCAAGAGTGTGCGAAAAGGGATGTGGAAAGCTGCCAAGCGACTGGTGGCACTCACCACCGTGTGCTCTGCGGCCGCTTCTTCGTTCACCGGGGAGACTCTACCCTTGCCACGCGGCAAGGACTCCGTGGCTCTTTTGGAAATCGGAGGATGGACCAAAACCCTCGAGGCGAGCGACTACAACTTCCTCACTGCCGAGCCCATCCTTCCCGAGGACCTCTACGAAGACAACTTCCTCGATAACCTCAACGAAACGATCAGGACTCTCGAGCCCGGGACTCTCTGGATCCATGGAGATGTTGTGACTGGGTGCCTACCCCAGATTGGAAAGATAGCAAGCGATCAAGTACGCAAAGGGCGAGCAGTTGTTGTGGAAGCGCCCGAGGACGCGACCCTGTGGGAAAGAGACGAGATCGAACGTGTTCGTGAGGAAGCGGGACTTCTACTTGAAAAGAGGAACAATGGACGCCGAGAACTCAGGATCAACGTGGCCCAGTCCTCTCACCAGTTTGCCTACGACGAGGACATCCAGCCCTTCCGGACCTACCTCGCGGCGCCTACTACGAGGAGCATCCCGGACTCCGACCCGTACGAGGTGATGGCCGTGACCGGCGGCGCATCTTCCAGCACCGAGGAACGAATCTCTGAAGCCCGCGGTGCCAGTGCGATCACTTTCAGTGAAGGCAAGAAGATCCCTGCTCCTGTCCAGTCCTCTCTCAAGAGACTACACCAGAACCTCGGACACCCAACGGCTGAGGACCTGGGCAGGCACCTTCGATTGGCAGGAAGCTCCCCTGAAGTCGTCGAGGCCGCAAAGAGGCTTCGCTGTCAAGTGTGTGATCGTCATCACCGGGGGAAGTCTGCCAAACCGAGCTCGATGCCGACTCTGCTGGAGTTCAACCAGCTCGTGGCTGTGGATGCCTTTTCGGTGTACGATGTGGAACACGTCAGAGTTGAGTTTCTTCTCGTGATCGACATCGGCACGGGTTTCTGCGTGGCTCGCCAACTCGAGGGCCACTCCGGAGAAGCCCTGGAGAAAGTTTTCTGTGATGCCTGGGCCTCCACTTTTGGGCCTCCTGGAAGCATGATCCTCGACCTGGAGACAGGCCTCCAAGCCGGGCTTGCAAGATTCAGTGAATGGCATGGGACATGGATCCGCCCGATAGCCGCCCAAGCTCATTATCAACAGGGCTCCGTCGAGAGGTGCATTCGGTCCTGGAAGCAACTCTGGGAGAAAGTGTGCGACGAGAAGTCTGTTGTTGCTTCTGAAGCCGCAATGGCCGCCACTGTCATTAATTCGGCTATGAACTCGCTGAGGAGAAGTTCCGGAACGAGCCCGGCACAAGCCGTATGGGGACGCGAGCCGCGTCTACCTGAAGACCTCACTCATCAGGCCGAGGCGGACCACTTCGAGAGTGTCCTCTCCAGAGACCGTTTGCGAGCACGAGAATTTGCCCTCAGGATGAGCGCCCGCACCGCCTACTACAAGTGCCAAGGCGACACGACCCTGAGAAGAGCCCTCAACCACCGATCGAGGGTGGCTGGACCTGAACTTGCTGTTGGAGACCATGTTTTCATCTACCGCAAGCCCAAGTCACAGAAGTTCTGGGAATGGTATGGGCCAGGAGTCGTCATCGGCAAGGAGGGCCCCAACTGGTGGGTTTCCTATTCAGGGCGCTGCCACCTCACCGCCCCAGAACACCTTCGCGTTGCTAGCGGTGAGGAAATTGGAGCCGCGTTCTCACTTCATGCCACCCGAGATGATCTCGAAAAGCTCCTGGAGGCCGACTTCGACGACGAGACCCTCTACGTCGACGATCTCGAGGAGGCCGTCAACGTCGAGGGGGAGCACGAGGTGACGATTGATGGCGAGGACGGGAGAACAAGAGGGACGGTGGGCAACCAAAGACCCCTACGGTGACCAAGCGCCAGAGGAAGAAAGGACCTGGAGAAGATCCCGAACCTCCTGGACATGTACATGCAGCCCACATGGCCAAGTTCGCCAAGACCGCACGTGGACGGGAGAAGGCCCTCGAGAAGGAGATCCCTTGGAGTTTGATTCCCCAAGAGGTCCAAGGACTTTTCAAGGACGCGGAGGCAAAGCAGTACCTCGAGCACCGACAGCACGAAGCTCTCATTCCCCTCAGCGTCGAGGAGAGCCGCGAGGTCACGAAAACCAAGGGAGACCGGATTCTCCCCAGCCGCTTTGCCTACCGGGACAAGCACTGGAGCAAGAGGAAGCAAGACGCCAAAGCTCCGTGGAAACCGAAGGCGAGATTAGTAATCGGAGGACACCGCGACCCTGACCTCATGAAGGGACTCAACACTCATGCTCCGACGATTTCTCGCCAAGGCATCCTCCTTCTACTCCAGATCCTGGCGAGCAACATGGCACACGGATGGACCGGACACGCTGGAGATGTGACCGCGGCTTTCTTGTCCGGAGAGACTCTCGTGCGAGAGTTGTTCCTTCGCCAGCCGAAAACTGGGCTCGGCGATCTCCATCCCGAGCAGCTTCTGAGGATTCGGAAGCCCATCTTCGGGTTGGTCGATTCCCCTGCTGCATGGTGGCAGAAGCTGAGTGGAACGCTCAAGGAGATGACGCTCTCCGACGAGGATGGCAAGCAGTGGATTATTAGACAGTGCGAACTCGACAACTGCATCTTCACTGTGCACCAGGTCTTCGAAGAGGCCGGTGGGAAGATCACCTACGGGAAACCCCAAGCCTACTTGGGGATCCACGTCGACGACATTCTCCTGATCGGGAATGACAAGCTGTGTGCTCTCCTCAAGCGCGAGTTGAGCAAGAAGTTTCCCATCGACGAATGGGAGTCCGGCTCCTTTGACTACGTTGGTTCCTACATCGACATCCGCGAGGATTACATCAAGGTGAGCCAGGAGTCCTACGTGAGCACTCGCCTCTTTCAGATTGACGTCGAAAGAGGCGCAAAGGACTGGGAGCCCGCTACGGAGACCCAGAGACTGGACAACATGTCCCTCATCGGGGCACTTTCCTGGCTGGCCTCGCAATCTCGTCCTGACCTTCAGGTAGGGGTCTCAATGAGCCAACAATGTCAAAGAGATCCATGCGTGGGCGACATTCGCTTCACCAACTTGCTCGCCCAACGCGCCCTTGAGCACCAGCAGGAAGGAGTCTACATCTACCCGGTCGACTTCGAGAAGGCGATCCTCCTCTGCTACCACGACGCAGGATGGGCGAACTGCCCCCAAGACCAAGACGATCCGCACTACGCCCTAGACGACGAAGAGGAAAAGCAAGGGATGATCGAGGGAGGACCACACAGCCTTCTCTCCCGAAAGGCAAAGAAGGCAAATTCCTCCATCGCCTCCCAGCTTGGGTGCTTCTTTGTCTTTGGGAACGACGGAGTCCTCGCTGGCGAGAGGACGCCGATGAGCATCCTCGACTGGAAGAGCGGAGCTTGCGAGAGAGTCTGCCGGTCCACCTTCCAGGCGGAGACGATGGCATGTGCCTACGGGATCGAGACCTCCGAGTACATCTTGAAGTTCCTCCAGACGTTGCTCGATGGCGACCTTGTGAGAGGCCCAACCAAGTTTCCGGCTCGCTTCATAAGTGACTGCAAGAGCCTTTACGACCATCTTACCAGAGAGGGGATTCCGAGAGTCCCAACATGTAAGCGGCTTGCAATCGATTTGGCATCTATAAGATGTGACCTTCGCCATTTTGGCAAGATAGCCTGGACTCCCACAGGGAGCCAGATGGCAGACCTCCTCACTAAGCCCCTGAAGTCAGGGAGCTGGTGGGAGGAGATCAAGAAGGGTATTAAGCTGACGTTTAGAGAGGAGAAGATCTTGAACCAGTGTAAATCGAGGATTGAGTTTGTGTGAGCTCTTGCTGAACTCCTGTCTGAACAGTCAAGCACCCAAACCCTTTGTGAACGCAGGTCTTCCGTCGCCGTCAGGCACAAGAGTTCGTCAAGCAGTGCGAAAAGAGCACCCGTCGCTGTGCGCGGGAGGCCGGGCCGTGCCCTGCTAGCTTAGTTTGTAGACTAATCCAAGACGCCCACGAAATCCACAGCCTCAACGGCCCATACTCAAGGCATCCCGCCGCTTGCGAGAGTCTTGGTATCCAGTGTTTCGGAATGACGACACCAAAATTCGTACTGATACTACCACTACTAATACTACTCACAATCATCCTGCTTCGTGTTGCTATGAACATTACTTTTACTATAAGTGCGATTCCAACTGGTACTTTTTTCCTACAAGAGCTTGCTGCAGATAGTAGCCACTCGCCGCATGCGCGTACAGCCGGGCCGAGGCGGACGACGCGCAGCGTTTCAAATTAAGCTCTTCACCTAAACCCTAAACCTCCAAAACCCTAAACCCCAAACCCTGAACCCTAAGCTCAAAATCCCCAAACCCCCAAATGAGACCCTAAACTCCCAAACTTTGGAAACTCTTCTATACTCGTCTGACTACTCGTAAGAATGCCCAATGGATAGTCCGTCCCTGTGTAATTACACGTTGCTATACCCTCAAAGGCTACACTATACTCAGTATACCCTCAAGCCGTGATCCAAATAGTAATGCGCTGTAAACGCTTAAAGCCCTACAACCCATACGGACCCCTTCGAAGAAGCCTTCACAAAAGGCTCAATGTGCACCTTGGTGTGCTGGATGGTCTCCTGGTCGTCCTCCATCTGCGCCTAACTAAGGTAAGGCCCGTCATAGGATCAGGTTTAGGGTTTCGGGTTGAGCTTTAGGGTTCAGGGCTTAGGATCAGGTTTGCTTTACGACTTCAAGGTTCCTAGAGAGGGTTCGTAGGCAGGATCTGTGGTTTACGGATGTGGGCCTTAAGCACTATATGGGTGAAGAATTTGGTTTCAAAGTCTTGGTTTTGAGTTTGTTCACGAGGAATCTAATCTATATCAGCTCATGCTGGCTCTCGTGTATCGGATGTTTCGAGTGTTGGCTTCGCTCGCCTTCGTAAGACTTTGACCTGAAGGTAGCAAGTCGACACAGAGCCTTCCGGGATTTAAATCCAGTCTCCATGCGGTTTGCTCGATAAATGGGGCCGTGTTTAGGCCTCATGGTCATCAAGAACAACAGGCTTGTGATCATGACCTCCTATTCAATCCCTTGATCCCCAAAACAAAAAACCGGACCCCCACAAACTGCTTGTTAAGCCGACAAGGATCATCTAAAACCCTTATCTGTCTAATATAGGGGGCCTTAATACTTGGAATAGGGTTCGGGGGCACATGATCCTATCGTTAATATAATAAGGAACCCCCCAAAAATGATTTAGTAAGGCCCCTATACTAGAACAACCTTCATGCTGACTGATCAGTTGGAGAACTTAGAGCATAAATTTACGGGGTAGGAGTTTCGGACCCCGAACCCTGAAACCCCCAAATCCAAAACCCTAAGCCACACGCCCGCCTCCATGTTGCGTTGCATCCTTTCTGCATCCTGCCTGCAACGGGCAGCAGGATCTGCAATTCAGGCTAAGTGACGCTAGTACCACCAGGCAGATGTCCTTGTCAGGGGTCTCCCCCGTTTTAAGGATCATAGTGGTTACCTGAAGCGCCCATAAGTCAGCAACTAATGCTACTACTTTTGCTGCTGCTACTACTACTACTACTACTACTGCTACTACTACTACTCCTGCTGCCGCTACTACTACTGCTGTAGCAGTAGTAGCTGCGGCAGTAGTAGTAGTAGTAGCAGTAGCAGCAGCGACAGTAGTTGCAGTAGAAGTACTAGCAGCAGTGGCAGCAGCAGTAGCAGTAGCAGCATCAACAAGAGCAGGAGGAGGAGCTGGAGCGGTCATAAGTGCTTGTGGCTAGTGCTAGCGCTGAAAAAGTATCACGGATACATCTACACTCAACCGCCTCAAACCCTGTACGCTGTGAACCCGAGGCCAACAACCACAAGCGAACGCCAAACCCGAAACCACAATTTCCCGAAACCCTAAGGCTTAGTAGTTAGAATAGGGCTTTGGGGCCGAATTTGCTATAACTATAATAAGAACCCCCCCCAAAGTAGTCTAGGTAAGTAGGGCCCCTGTTTTAGCCTCAAAAGATGCCGGTCCCCGTAGCAGAAAACCTGTTTCTGGCATCTCGCCCTCAAGCACGAAGCTTTGCGTGCAGGTTTCAAGTGAAACATTCTTGAGCCTCCGATGACTCAGGTATTCCTGTAGGGTTTCGGCCTGCCGTCCCAGAAGCACAGTCATAGAAGATAAGGATAGTAGTGACTACCAAACTACCTTTGATGGGTCTGAGCAAGAGTAACAAGAACACTTATCAACCTGTGTTTGCATTAGTGCTGCTGGTGAGCCTTAACATGATCACCACTATGTCCAGCAGCAGCGACGAATGCGGTAGGAATCCAAACACAACGACAACACTCAGCTACTCCTCCAGAACTTGGGAAGACCTTCGGGAACGAACATATCTGACGTGGACGACAACCTCGAGCTTTAGCAAACGGGCGACTGTTGGGCTGCAGAGTTTTGCTGTAGAAGCTGTAAAGAACAGCTATGACGATCCTACAACTTCAAGCCTCAAGCCCTGCGCACTCCACGAAACTACCTGGAGGATCATGGGACTTAGTAAGTAAGGTTATCAGTACCTTAATTGGGGTTATAAGTAGTTGTTACCCGAATTATAACCCTAGTTTTAAAGTCCCATGATCCTTTAAGTAGGTGAAGCAACGAAAGTTGGGCGCCCTGGTCCTCAGGGAAAAAGCATAGCTCCGCCAATACAGCTCTCGCAGTTCTCAGGTCCAACTCAGCAGCTGGAACCCTTCCAAAGTCTAAAGCTGAAAGTCGGAAGAGTAATCCAAAAACTTGTACTGTCGACGCTTTTGCGGAAACCAACCACAAATCCTGTAGTTGGCCTGATTTCTTGGGTCTTGGACTTAGATGTTTAAAACTATAAGAACCTCAACTGCGGGTAAAAAGTTACTATAAGCATAGTTACGTTATTTACAACCATAGCGGCTAAGTCCCATGATCCTTTAAGTATTAGCTGAATTGCACTGGTCTCTGAGCCCCAACTATGCCCTGGCTCGGCCTCAACTCTCAGTCGCTCGTATTACGAATTCATGACTATTCCTGAATTAAGGACGTAGTGGGATCCTTGGGTTGAAAAAAACCCATTCTACAGAGAGGTCCACACCCTGTCGCAGCGATTACGGTTGAGGCTTGGGGGCCTAGGGCTTCTGAATCCTCACCAGCTTCTAGCGAAAGTCTATTCTTGCGACACATGCTGTATTCTTGCAGCCCCCCCTCACGGAGTGCCAGCTCATTTGTAGCGCGTGGCGCAGTTCGCGTTGGAGGTCGAGCAGCAAACTTGACGCTTCCTCGGCTTTGGAGCGATCAGCCCCTTGAACGCTTCAGGGTTCCCTGGGCCCTAAATACGTAAAGGATCATGGGATATAAGTAGGGTTGTGATTAGGGAAACGATACTTATAACTAGTTATAACCCCGAATAAGGTACTTATAACCTCACTTACTAAGTCCCATGATCCTCCAAGTATGGCTGGTTTACAAGGTTTTGTATACTTCGTTGTAGGGTTCTAAGCTGCCGTCTACCGGGGCCTGCTAGGGCTTCATGCAGCTTTGCGAGACAAAGCCACTTAGTAAGGGTATAGGTGCCTCAGTTGGGGTTGAAAATCAACCAAAGTATAAGTTATCTCATTGATTCATTGATAACCATAGATACTAAGTCTCACGACCCTTTAACTCGAGTCATCACCACCCGTGAACTGGTGCAACTCACTCCTGAGAAGCAGTCGAACCTAACCTGAACTCCGAAACCCCTGAAGCCGAAAAGAGCCCAGTAGAATGAAGCCTTGTAGAGCCCATGGTAACGCAGCCTTTTTGAGCCGTTATAGAGCCCCGCGTATGAGACCCCGAACCTCGAAACCCTATAATATAAATCCTTAAAAAAGCCCAATAAGCCCTATAAACCCAACAAACCCAATAGACCAAAAAAACCCTCAACCCTATAGGCCCTATAAACTCCAAAGACAAAGCCATGTTCTTCAAAGATCATCAAAGATCAACTTTCAGGGCACCGACCTCGACAGGTTGGTAACCCTAAACCCTAAGCCCTAAACCCTAAGCCCTAAACCCTAAACCCAAAGCCCCAAACCCTAAGCCCTAAACTGGTCTCTGAGCCCAGGGGCTTGAAGGACCAATCTTCCGACTGTCCCTGGCCGGCTTGGGCTTCAGGCGCTCTTTTCTGTTCTAAGGGTTTCAGGGTTTCAGGGTTTAGGTTTCAGGTTTTCAGGGTTTAGGGTCTAGGGTTTCAGGGTTTAGGGTTTTTTTGAGCTCCTTTTCTACGGAAGCCCGTAGGGCTTAGGTTTTAGGGTCTAGGGTTTCAGGGTTTAGGGTCGAGGGTTTCAGGCTTTAGGGTCTAGGGTTTCAGGGTTTAGGGGGGTACCCTTTTTCGAAAATGCAGAGGTTGGAATCATCTACGAAAGCTCCTTAGGCCGAGCAACAAGAACTCAGAACTTAGGGCGCTTAGGGCTTGGGCCTGACCCAAACCCTAAACCCCAACCCTAAACACTAAATCCTAAGCCCGAAGACCCCAAACCCTAAACCCTATAGTAGAAGCCAGAAAGTTGGAACATAGATTTAGGAGGATTAGTGCTAGGATCCCTTATACTTTAACTTAAGGGCATGAGGATAATGATGTTCCAACTTTCTGGCTTCTACCATAAACCGCCAGACCCGAAACCCTAAAACCCTAAACCTGTAGGGTTTAGGGGTGTTGGGCATCAGGCCTTGGAGCGTCGGGGTTGAGGGCTGAGAGGTTCATCCTGACAGGGTCCTGGGGGTTCCTATAAAGTACCCTTGGTAGTATAGGGCCCCCAATTTTGGGATCTACTTTCTAGATCCTCCTGAGGGGTCTGGGTTAAAGGATCCCTATAGATCCCTTATGGATCCCTTTAAAGGAACCCTATAGATCCCTCGGACGTATTAGCAGCTAGGGATACTACTTAACATCCCAATGAAGATGCTCGGAACCCAATGAAGGTACTTAGAACCCCAGTCAAGGTACTTAGAACCCCAGCTACGGTACTTGGAACAAAACACTAATAAGCTCAAGTAATGTGCTTATAACCCCACTGAAGGTAACCCTACCCCGATCATGGTACTTATAACCTTACTTATTAAGCCCCATGATCCTCCTAGTAAGCTGCAGGGAATTCGGGCTCAGGGGCTGCATCGTCTGATGTGGCAGCCCACAAGCAGGGTTTAGGCTGAAAAGAACCGGAATAACACGTATAGATAGAAGGCTGTAATGAAGCCGAGCAAAGCAGAAGCGGCAATCCCATTAAAAAGGAAGTGTCGAAACCCTGATAGAGATCCTGTACGTCCATGACAACACCTAGCTAAGCCATCAACTGTCATAAGCAACATTCCAAACCCATTAAAAACCTACAGAAAACTTATCAACATCCCGCATCCAACTCTACAGAATCTTTCCAAAATCCCAACCCAAACTCTTGCTCTTAGCAACAAGAATCCTATATACCCTACAACCCATCATAGAACCACCATAACGCTGATAGGGCCTAGAAAACACCAAATCCGTATGCACCTCAAAACTCGTGTAAAGCCTACAAGCACCATGAAAAGTCCTGTGAGCCGAGAAACCGTATGTCTTACTTACAAACGTTATACGTCTCACAAGACTTCTGGGCTCATCAACCTCATGAACCTTATAGCTCACACAGGCTCCGAGTCCGACGCACAGCGAATGCAGTGCGGCCGGCAACTCATGAACCTTATAAACCTAACCCTAAACCTTCAAAGCCTCAACCCTTAAAGGGACCCTTTCGGAACCCTTAGAGGAGCCCTAAAAGGCATCCCTGAACGGAACCCTTAAGGGGACCCTCCCGAAGGAACCCTTAAAGGAGCCCCAAAGGGGAACCCTAAAGGGGACCCTCGTATAGAACCCCTTTAGTAACCCTGAAAAGGGACCCTATTATAGAACCATATAGTATCCTTAAAGGAGACCTATCATAGAACCCTATAGTACCCCTCAAAAGGACCCTTCTGAAGCACCCTTAACAGGAGCCCTAAACCGAGCCTTGGAGCAGTCGAAGAAGAAGTCTGCTTCCGAGGGCTCCGGAAAGTCTATCTCGTCGGACTTGCAGCCGATGCCTCTTTGGGCTTTAAGGGTTCAGGGCGTGGGGGTTGAGGGGATAGGCATAGGGGTTTAGGGCAGAGGCTTTAGGGTTGAGGGTTTGGGGTTTAGGGTATAGGGTTCAGGGTTTAGAGTATAGGGTTTAGGGTTTAGGGCTTATAGGATTTAGGGGGCTCTAGAGCTTTAGGGCTTGAGGGCTGCCAGGCTTTGGGCCTCTATTACGTAAAGAGATTTAAGGCTTTAAGGCGTAAGGCCCTCGTAGACGGCGTAGGGTTTCCGGGCATTGGGGCTTTGGGGCTTTGAGGCTTTGTGGCCTTTCGGGCTTGAGGGTGTTAGGGTTTTAGGGCGTTTGGGCTTTAAGGTTTTGGAGCTTTCAAGATTTAGAGTGTTCGGGTTTCAGGATCTAGCTATAGTCTCCACTGTAGTTCCTTTTTTGGTTTAGCCAACTATATGTATAACCCCCAAAAGGAACTACAATGGAGACTGATGGGTTCAGAGTGGATGGGTTTGCACGGCGGGTTTGTACAAGCTGTTGTATGCTGTGTGAAAGGATCATACGGAATATGTAAGATTAAAGGGGAAAAGGAGGGACCCTTAATGGGGACCCCTGCCCTATAATGGGCTATATAATGGGTATATAATAGCTATATTAAGGCTATATACCTGGAGGTCCGTATTAAGGGTCCCTCCTTTTACCCGTGGATAAGACTCATAACCCTAAACTCTCAGGTCGGGCTCAGGATCTTGGGCCTAGGGCTTAATTGGGGGTCAGATCTTCGAGCGAAGCTTCGAAATCTATGAAGGGCCCTCGCAAGCGTTCCATGAGGCTTCGACATGAGTCCTAGAAGGGTGTTAGGGGTTTGAGTCTTAGGGCTCATACGGGGTAGGGTGTTCTCTTGACTCTTCGGTTATAGGGCTTTGGGTTTGGGGTTTCAAGCGCTTAGGGTTTAGGCCTTACGTATAACGAAGGCGTTCGGGTGCAGGGTTTCGGGACAGCCGCCCGGGCACAGGCCGAAAGCGTTCCGAATGACCATACAAAGCCGATGCGAGGAGCAGGCCACTGCAACCACGCGTCATGTGAAGTTGGCGAGGCAGGTAGTTTGGTCCATGCGATGAGGATTTCGTGCAGCTGTGGATTGCGAAGGGACACGTCCAGGAGGAAGGGCACATGGGTCGGGGTGTTGCCCGTCGAGGTTGATGCCATCGACGGAGTAGCCAGGGTTGCTGTCGGATCGTTCTTGGGTGCCTCGTTCGGGGCGATCGGCTCCACGATGTTGGGAAGCCCGTATGATCGCCAAAATGAAGACACATATTCACCACTGCAGGGTTGCTGGCGAGAACTTTGTAAAACAACTTGCATAGAAGAATCCTGCAACGATGACAGTCAATGGCTCAGCGCTTTCCAGGTCCAGGGCTTAGGATATGTTGGGCTTCGGGATTTTGGGTTTCAGGTTCATGGGTCCAGGAAGGCATGGGCCCTAGCATGTAGCATTTCGCGCTTAGGGCCTGGAATTTGGGTGAGACCCACAGAGTATAATTAAATAGTAAATAGGTTTAGGGTTGAGGGTTTAAGTGCCCTAATAATCCTAGAGGCTGTAGAGTTCAAGGTTTTGAGTTGTGGTTTGAAGTTAGATCCTAACAGCCGACTGTCCGGGACGATATACCCCTATGTCAAGGTACCGGGAGTGTCCTGCTACATTGGGAGTTGAGGGACCATCGATCCCAAATGTGCAGAGCCCCTATGCTTACGTACATTTACATTGAACCCTAACACAAGCTACTCTGCTCCAAGCGGGAACCCCTGAACCCTTAACCCCTGAACCCTAAATAAAATTTGCCTCAACCCTGAGCCGGAACAATCCTATCCTCGTCCCCACCGCTGGCCTACAGTCTGGCAACATGCTTGCTTCTGCTCTTCCGCCCAGGCAAACTGCCAGTTGTCAACCTCTACCTCAGGCATGTCCGACTTCTCTCTCTTGTTGTTATTCTTCGGCTTGAGGGTTCAGGGTGTGAGGGTCGTAATGGGGGTTCTCCTGCGTTGCAACAACTGCTGTGGCAGGCAGAACAACCGTCCTCGCGGTTTTGAGCGTTTCATAATTACTAGTGGCATGTTGCGGATTCCTTCTTATATTTATAGTACAGTATACCCTAAGGCTCCAAACAGGGTCTTGGGCCTTCTGGGGGAGGGTTTCGGCTTTGGGGGCTCGGGTTTGGGACCTCACTACAAGGGTCCAGGAGCCTTAGGGTAATATCCCCCCCAACCCTATTCTATTTATTAAGGCCCTTGTATTACTAGGGTTTCGGACTTACAGGTCTAGGGTTTGGTCCTCCAGGGCTGGCTCTCCTTTGGTTAGTCCCCCTCTCGCAGCGAAGCTCCGTGAAACGATCCATGCCTAGTTGCCTAGTTGCTGAAGTTGTTCGGCCCCAAAAAAGCTCAGCTTCTGTTGGTGCTCCTACGGTATGATAGAATACCTGCACATAATAAGGAATATGCCATAGCTCCCATAGTCTAGGAAGGTAGACCGTAAACCCTAAACCCTACCGCGGAAGCTTGCCTACTCAGCTGGGCTACGAGAAATTCCAAGGCCCGAGATTCAGGTGACATATGGTTTAGGGGTTAAGGGTTTAGTTGAGGGTTTAGGGTTTAGGGTTAAAAAGTTAGCGATTTGAGGGCTTCGTGGTTTAGGGGTTCGAGAGCTTGGGTTTAGGGTTTAGGGTGACCCGCCAGGCGAGACGTGCCAGCAACAAAACCCAATTTACACCCCGTGCCGAAGTCTAGAAAAACTCATTGGTGCGGTGAACTCAATGAGCTCCAACCCTAAGCACACGAAGGATGACCAGTTACGAAGATGCTAACAAGACCATCAACGGCTGTAGTAGCGGAAGTGATGATTCTACTGCTGATGATGCTACGATCATACACATTGTGACTCCAACGTTCTGTTCCGAGGTGCCGTGCAGTCGAATTGATTGTAGTTGCCTGACGAAGGGGAGGGCTCCAGTGGTCTTGGCTGACTTGGTTCCTCAACACTACTTAAAGGATCATGGGACTTAGTAACTAGGGTTCTAAGCAGGGTAACTATACTCATAACTACTTATAACCCCGATCAAGGTACTTGTAACTTTGCTTACTAAGTCCCATGATCCTCCAAGTAAGCCTTTCCTGACCACGGCCCCACAAGCCTAAACCCGAAAAGTGAGTCTGAAGCCGTCAGTTCCCCAGATCTCAAATTGTGACAACCCGTGCAAAGGACTGACCTTCGAGGTTGTGTTTCTGTTGATGATATAAATCCTGCATGACTTTAAGGACCCTAAACTATGGGATTTATGGTATATTCCTTATTCTGGGTCATGCAGGATTTCTATCATCAACCGTTACATGTAACATCAGCGTCCTTGTTCGTGTCAATAGATATCCTTTTCTATGTGTCCCTGGAATCGGGCTGTTTGCTATGAGGGTCCATATTGTGAAACTCCAGCACAATTCCATCTCATCACCTTTCTACACGGGTAGTTCTCTGATTTAGGGTCCCTTTTAGGTTCCTTGTTATGAAGTTGTCGTACTATTTCGGGGACCTGAATAGGATTCCTAGTTTAGAGAACTAGGTGCCCATACACCAAACCCCTTAACCCGAACCCAGGAAGGTCGAAACAGCAATAAGCATACGAATAAGGAGAACAATTGATGAGAACAATAATGCACAATTCGCAACACTGTTTTTCATGGTAATAACAACAAATCAGAACAGTCATGAATGACCGAAACATATCTTGGGGTCGAGGGTTTTTGACGTCGAGCTTCCGGGCTCGACGTAGACGGGGTTTCGGAAAGCCAAGCCCGTTGGTGCCTTCAAGGTTGTCCTGCTGCATGGGCTGTTCTTGGCCGCCTCGGCCTGCCGGAAGGAGACATCAAAACAGGTTTGGGTTTGGCGTTGGGTTCAGGGGGACGGCGGGGGGAGGGTAGGGCAGGCAGACTTCAATGGGCGTCTTAAAGGACTCGATAACCTGAGGCTTGCAGGAGCGCGTTTTGAAGGGTTTAGGTTTGGGAACTCAAAAAAACCCACAGTCATGACAGAGTCAAGAAATTCGTGTAGCACTGTCACGTAGCCGCTTGATAATTAGAACATGGTTTTGGGGCCACTATACTCCGCTACCCGCTACTGCTTCCAGGTGCAGATATGTCTACTGCTACTCCTACTGCAAGAACTGCTACCGCGGCTGCTGCTGCTGCCGCGGCTCCTACTCCTACTACTACTCCAACTACTACTATTACAACTACTACTACTACTACTCCTACTACTACTACTACTACTACTACTACTACTACTACTACTACTACTACTACTACTACTACTATGTAGTACTACACTACATGCTCAATCATCGGCCTTCTCCGTCGGCACGCTGGGACAGTGGGGTCTCTACGACGAATCCAGCGCCATCGTCCTGAGCCGTTCGGGGTTTCCTAAACTGCGGTTTAGGTCTTAGGGTTCAGAGTTCAGGATTCAGGTTTGAGGGACCCTAAACCCTAAACCCTGCTCTCCTGGGCACACCAGCGGGGATGCTGCGACAGAGTTTCGGGACTTGGTGTCGAAATGATTTGGCGTCGAAAATTGCGTTCCTACGAATGGATGTTCTGTCAGCAGAACAACTACGTTAAGCTAAACCCTAACCCTAAGGGATTCTCTTGCTGCCTGAACCGAGCCTTACAGAACAGTCCAGTCCATCCAAGCTCGGCACAAGAACCCCTGACGGAGGAGAGAACCAGGAGCACAGCACCGTACACCGAAGGTCTGACACAAGACACCCTAAACCCAAAAACCCAAAACTCAAGCGCCCCTGGACCTTGCATCATTCACACCCCACCTGTGGTTGTAGAGTCTCGGGTTTGGGGTTAGGTTTTGGGTTTAAGGTGCCCCCTACAAAATGTCCAATTGTGCTGCTTTTCCAGTCTAAAACACATTAAAAAATACAAAAATAACGTGATGTTCTGGTAATATAGGGGCGTTAATAATCAGAATAAGGCTTTTGTGGTATATTTTACTATATTGATAATAAGGAACCCCCGCAAATAGTATAGGCTTTGAGGAGACTCACGACTCGATCATCCCATCAGAGTCCTCGGTGTCGCATCCAATGACTCGGTGAGTGCAGCACCTGGGGCTCTCGTGGTGGAATTCTGGGACCCAGCCCCTTGAAAGAATCTTTACTTGGAGGTTCATGAGTAGTTGTAAGTAGAGTTATAATCCCCCGAAGATGGGTTATAAACACAGCTACCTTACTTAGAACTCTACTTATAACTACCCTGGTACCTACAAGTACAGACGCCTTATTGCGCCTCTGAAGGCGCTCTCCAAGGAACCTTCTAAGTTACTAAGACCCACGAACCTTGAAGTCGTAAGGCCGTATCGGGTGTTGATTTAAAGGCTCCCCGGACTTCTAAAGCATGTCTTGCAAGTGGTAGGAGGTGGTTAGGGTTTAGGGTATCGGGTTCAGGTTTTCGCATTCAGGCTTTCGGGCTTAGGAACTGGGGCTTATGGTGAAGATGCTAACCCAAAAGCTCTGAAACCACCCTTCAGATACCTGTGTATGGCATCTAGGCCTAAGAGTAACATAGGAATAAAAAGGGTGCCTTGTTTGGGGTAAAGGGTGTTATAAGGGAACCTAAACCATAAAAAAGGAATAAGGGCCTACTCTGGGTCCTGGGCATAGTAGTATGCCCCCAGGATTAGGGACTTGGGGTTTAGGCTTTAGGGAATCTGGCCGTGGGGCTTCGGGATGTCTCTTCAGTCATTACCCAGACCCCCGGGCGGATCCAGAAAGTAGATCCCCTAATTTGGGGCCCTATACTACTAAGGGTACTTTATAGGAACCCCCAATAAGGGATCTACTTTTTGGATCCTCCCGGGGGTCTGGGTAACCGTGAATCGCGAAACTCCCCTTTGCCTTAGCAGCCACAACATACCTAAGTGTCAGAGTTCTGCTCCCTACTGCAAACGTTATTGAGGGATGGGTGTTACTGGTCAAAGGTTTGTCTCCGAGGGTAGGGATGTGAGGCAATTATATAAGTACCGTCGCTGAGGGCATCCTAGGGAGAAACTCCAGTTTCCCCACTCCCCCCTCTTCAGCATGTACGAAGCACTTGCTGCTCAAACCCTAAACCTCCCTAAAATGAATACCAACTATACGAGTCCCCGAACCCTAACCCCTGCAAGCGAAACAGCTTGAAGCCACTCGCTACAGGCTCTGGTGCTCGCAGCCATCGAGAGTCGAGCCACGGACGCAAAAGAGGCCAGAAGTGCTTTCGCTTGTGCTAAAGCCCATAGCCTTAGAAGCCGCCATTTCGACCCTTGGTCTTTGAGCACCCCGGCTACATCCACGCCCTTGGCGCGTGCATGGTAGCGGAGCCTTCGGGCTCAGAAGAAGTTGAACGTGAAGCTTGTGGAATCCAGGGACCTCAGACGTTCGAGTGATACGCTCCCTTGAACGACGACACCGCCAAGATGGATGCCGGAGCTTCAAAGACCAAAGAGGGAGTTCCCACATGGAGTGGGGACCCGTCTTCGTACCAGGACTATGAAGAGGCCGCCCTCCTCTGGGAACAGTCAGTGGCAGTGCAGAAAAGGTACCTATGTGGGCCACGACTAGCAGCAGAGTTGGGGGGCGCCGCCAAGCGCCTGGTGGTCGGCAAGCGAGCCGACTGGCTGTCACACAATGACGGTGTGACAGTGCTACTACAACACCTACGCAACAGCCTGGGGCGGCCCCAGGTATCCGAGTTGACCGAGCACCTGTCCAGGTTCTTCAAAGGGTCGCGGAAGCGACCGACAGAGGGCATGAACGACTACATCACCCGGAAGAGCGAAGTGTACCTCAGGGCTTGTCAGGCACTACGTCGAGTTGCTCCACTTCACAAGAAGGGCCAAGGGACCACAGGCCGGATGTGGAGCCGACGAAGCAGCGGCGACTACTCGTACTACCCCGAGACGGAGAACGAGGAGCCCGAGGAAGCAGGAGATGGACAGGAGGCCCAGGATGGATCCACCACAACGGCGAGTACTACACGAAACAACGATCAGTGGAATGCGTGGAATCCCTACTGGGGTGGAAGCTGGTGGTCAAGTGGATGGAACCAGGGATACTGGAACTACGGCGGAGGTGGAACATGGGGACGCCAGGCGTCTACCGAGCCGGAGGACAGTCTCCCAGATCTCCTCCCGGACTTCGTGCAAGGATGGTACCTTTTACATGATGCCGGCCTGGACCACATGTCCAGGAACCTGGTGATGACCGCCCTTCAAGGCGACTTCAGCTACATGAAGGTAGCCCAGGAGCTCAGAAACCAGTTCGGCGACGAACACAAAAAGCGCGACTTCACGAAGAATCCGGTCTACATGGGGGACTACCAGGATACCGATGACTACCCGGACGGTGACACCTACGAGATCGAGGAGGACGAGGCGCTGGACGACGATGAGAAGGCGATGTGGAACGAAGCCGAGGAGTCGGCACAGGAGGCCATGGCAGCTCTCCAAGTGGCGAAGAAGACCTTGAAGGAAGCAAGGTACAAACAACATGCTGTAAAAATGGCACGCCAGTTCTACAAGCCCAACATGCAGCGACCTCAGCGGCCCAGGAGTAGCGGCGACGGAGTACCTGCTCGAGATGACTCAAAGATGACATGCCTACGCTGCGGCAAGGTTGGCCACAGGGCGGCCAACTGCAGCCAGCCCCCACAAGCGGCCAAGGTGACCAACGAGGTGCCGGAGGACAACCCGACCTCGTCGTTCGTGTGTTACTCGGAGACCGAGAACCTGGCGATGAGCGTGGGGCTGAGCACCGATGAAGCAGTTAAGAAGGGCATGGCAGTGATCGATGGTGGGGCGACAAAAACATTGTCGTCGATCGCTGCGCTAGAGCACATCATGAAGCGCAACATGCAGGAGAAGGGCTTCGATGGCCTGGTGGGAATGAGCTTACAGGATAGACCGCTCTTCTCGTTTGGGAATGGCACGCAGGACCGATGCGCCTCAACAGTGCAGCTACGCTTGGATGCTGCCGAGAAACGAGGCGAGCTGACCGTGCACTGTCTTGATCGAGGAGAAGGCCCCCTGCTGCTCAGCATCGACGCGCTCCGGAAGCTCGACGCAATTATAGATTGTAAGAATGATCTTATATGTTTCAGGGCCTTAGATCCGCGAAGGCTCATCAAAGTTGAGCGGTCGCAGACAGGCCACCAGTTGTTGCCGCTGACGAGCGACATTTTTAAGAACTCTGTGTGGGCTCGACAGGCCGTGCCAAGCTTGTCTGAGTATGCAACCACGCAAGCCTAGGGACAACTCCTCCGTTTTCCAGGTCCCGAAGGAAAAACGGAGGACGAGAAGTCTCTGGGACAGGGGAATGTAGATACTTCCGACTCTGGGGTTAAAGGGTTTGGAAGTGCTCTTGAAGGTAGAGTGAGTGATTTAGGAGTGCAGGGGAATAGATCACTTCTTGCTGCGAACGTACCACATGTGACACGGCAGCAGCAGACGCAACCGCGCATGTCGACTATGACGGTGACTGCAGCCACAGGGAATATCAAGCCCTCAGATACTAGTTTGCCCTCGGGGACTTCCTCTCCCAGGTCGATACATGGCGAACCTCAACAAGATGACCAAGGCGGCGTTGCAGGACGAGCTGTTCGAGACCTACGGGGAGAAGGCGCCAACGAAGTGGACCAAGTTAGAACTCAAGGCACGCATCAACGAACTTCGGGGCGACGAGGAGGTGGCCCCCACGTCCGGTTCGACCTTGCAGGACCGCACGAGGGACCTGAGGAAGGCTGCGAAGAAGAAGAGCGACTTGATCGAGTTCTGCCGCCACATCCAGGTGGAGCTCAACGGGAACGAGACGATGGCAGTGATGGAAAGTCGAGCGCTACGACGTCTCCAGGAGACGTGCAAGGCGGGGCCACAGGACTTCGTCGGCTTCGGGAAGTACAGCCACCTCCAGTACATCAACATCTTGACCGGCTACGAGGAGTACGGAAGGTGGGCAAAGCAAATGTACAAGGAGGACCCGGAGGGGAACAGCACGGACCCTCGGTTGCGACGTCTGGCGCAATGGTTGCTGGACAACGAGGATCAGAAGGACACGGAGAGGGTGAAGCGGGCGCCCCGCGAAGAGCGCCGAGCGATCGCTGGCCGCGAACCGGGCCAGAGCAGTACTTCATCGGCTCCGACGACGACAACGGGGAACCCGTCCTTGGAGAGCGTGATTCACGAGCAGAACAAGCGGATGGATCAAATGGCGAATGTGATCGAGTTGCTTCGCACCGAGCTGACCGCGACTCGGGGCGAAAGGCCCCGGAAGGGGGCGGAACGCCGGGAAGATTCGGAGGGACAGAAGGACGAGGATGCCTACATGACGGAGGGCTCCTACAGCCTGGTGTCGGACCCGGGGAATCCGAAGTCCACGAGGAAGTGAGGTCGGAAACCGACCACGGGCCGCAGGACAGATCCCTAGGCAGTGCCTCAGAACAGTTGGCGCAACAGTTGAAATCTTCTTCCGGGCACAGGCCGCTTAGTGCGACACGGGCCCAACGGCTGGAGGAGCAGTCGTGGAAACTTGTGCCGACTCTTTTCCAGGATCTGGTAGGCTATGAGCGACCCGTGCTGATGGAATGGAGCCGTCAATCAGACAGCTCTTTTGCCGATGAGCTTACCCAGGTGACCGGGAAGGCGCACCTAGAAAAGTATCATCACAGATGGGACAGCGCGTCTCTGGGATCTGATGAGGGAGTGCGCCGTGCTAGAGAACAGTTAGAGTTGGAAAGACCCCTGCATGTTTGGTTGTCTCCTGTTTGCGAAGCCTACAGCCCATCCCAACATGTGCACCAGGACAGTAGCCAGAAACAGGAACAGCTGAGCCAGAAGCGTAGGGAGTGTTTGCGTCAGTTGATTGGCATGGCGTGTATTGTCCACTTGTGCGTGCAACAGGGAATACATGTCAGTGTGGAAATGCCAGCGAAGAACAACGCATGGAGGCTCCAGGTGATGCAGGGTTTGAGGAAGAAGTATGGGTTAAAGATGGTGACGGTTCAGGGTTGCATGGTGAACTTGAGGAACCAGCGAGGTGAATTGGCGAGGCAGGGATGGAGTGTGATGACCACGCATGATAGGATGGCTCGCATGTTGGACTTGCCGTGTCGGTGCCCTAGGAATGCGAAACATGAAAGGGCCGAGGGAAAAGGCAGTAGCTACACGAAAGAGCTGGTACACCGTGTGTGCCGCGCCCTGTTGCAAGAGCATACACATCACGACATCCTTGAGGAGTGCCAGGGCAGGACTCGCTTGATCGAGGGATTCGGGGAAGGGGAGTTTTGTGCGTGTACGGAAGTTACTACTCCTTTTCAGTCTCGGAAGTGTGCGGCTTGTTTGCCAAGTAGGTATCAGTGTCTCTGTGACAAAGACCCCGAACCTGAAGACGAGAACCCCGAGGTAGGCGAGGAAGAGTCTTGTATGTTTTCGAGCCTTGAGATACAGCAAGTAGAGTCTGAAGCAAAGAGGCTCCAGGTCGCGGGTAACTACAGCCACGAAGCTTGTGAAGCTCTGATATCGAAGTTGCCTAGCAAATGTCGCCAACAACATCGAAATGCCATGGTTGACCAGAAAACGGACACTCTCCTGCTTGGTGTGTATGCGCATGGAAACCACTATGGAGTGACCAATTGGACCCGGAAACTGCCCCAAAGCTGTAAGTACCTGTGGAGCTACTTGAAGAAATGGACCCCTGAAGCCATTCATGGTAGCACCCTGGTGATCAACAAGAATTGTAAGCATGGCATGCACCGAGATGTTCACAATCAACCAGGTACCAAGAACTATTCGATAGGCGTGTCTCAGTACAAACAAGGTGAAGTGTGGCTAGAAGGCCCCGGACCAAGCCCCACCTACAAGACGATCATGCGACAGACGCCTACAGGACAGCAGCTCCCGGGACACTTGCGTTCCGTAAATCAGCAGGTCGTATCCTTTGATGCGCATAAGTGGCACGCGACACAGGACTGGAGCGGCAAGCGATGGATCGTAACGGCATATACGAGTAGGGGCATACAACATGTAGGGACCCAAGAAAAGCAGTGGTTACGACAACACAGTTTCCCTCTGCCACCGGCACGACCGCCAAGCCCTGAGGAGAAGAAGGAAGGAGAGGAACAAGCGATGGTAGGAGAAAAGGGGGGTGGAAAACCGAGTAAGGCACAGGAGGAGGAGTCCATCAAGAAGAAGTTATATCTCCTACACGCCGCGACGGGACACGGGTCGGTGCGCCACATGATTGATGCTCTGAAGCGTAGGAAAGCCAGCCCTCTTGTGATCCGCCTGGCACAGGAATTCAAATGCTCCATATGCCAGGAGAAAGCACGAGTGCAGCCGAGGCAAACCGCCTCGCTAGAGCCCATACCACCAAAGTTCCATACGATCACGGCGGACATTGGGCACTGGGTACACCCAGCGTCCGGGGAACACCAGAATTTTATGGTGGTGGTTGATGAAGGGTCTAGGTTTAGGATGGCAAAGATTCTTCTGAAAGGGCAGAAGCAGGCGCCTACCTCAGCAGCATGCATTAATTATTTGCAGGAGGGATGGTTCCAGGTGTTTGGAAGGCCCAAGACTTTGCGATTGGACCCTGCGGGTAGTTTCAGATCTAGCACAGTGGAGAGCTTCTGTGACCGCCACAGCATATATCATGATGTGATCCCAGGCGAGGCGCACTGGCAGATAGGTCTAGCGGAACAGGCAGTTCAGGGGTTGAAGCTTCTCATGTCAAAGATTTGCGAGACTGATCCTACCACGACTCCGGAGGAGGCTATAAGCATGGCTGTTTCAGTGTTCAATCAAAGGGAAGTTGTTCGGGGATACTCACCGGTGCAACATGTTTTGGGTCAGGCTCCGGATGCCATGGGACGATTTCTTCCACATGAAGGAAACCTCCCAGAAGAAGTGATCCTCAATCAACCTCAGGGAACGTTTGAACAGGAAACCAAGAGAAGAGCAGAAGCCGAGAAGGGTCTTGCGGATTGGGCTGCACAACAAAGGCTCACCAAGGCGCTTAATTCGAGGTCCAGACCCCACTATAGATACCAGCCTGGAGATCTTGTCTACTTTTGGAGGACCCAAGAATCAGGACGCCACAAGAAACAACCAGGAACAAACCAGGGTAGGTTCTTAGGACCGGCAAGGATACTGGCCATGGAAACCCGTAGAGATGAGTCAGGACACAGCCGACCGGCTCATGCGATATGGTGCGTAAGGGGAAGAAGCTTACTTAAGTGCAGCCCTGAGCAGTTAAGGCCAGCCAGTGACAGAGAAGAACTCTTAGAGGCTTTGGGCCCCGAGCAGACAGCCCCATGGACCTTCAGCAGAGTAGCAGAAGAAGTGGGGGGAAACAGCTACCAAGACCTGACCCAGGAGACCCCAAGTGAACAAGAGTGGATGAGGGCCCAGGACCCCCAGGAGGAACACCAGCCTACTAGACATAGGATCAGTCGGAAAAGGCCAAGTCCTCAACCAGAGAACCCAGAAAACCGCGATCCTGAGGAGTGGGAGGACGTTGATGGAGGTGAGCCAAGCCAGCCTAGCGTAGTCCGGAGAACCTCTGCCTACGTAGGACCCAAACTCCCCGAACCTGAGTGCGCCAACTGGTGGGACAAGGTTGCCGAGTCAGCATGGTCAGCTGAAGCTAGTGCTTATTGGACCGAGGAACAACAAGCAGTAGAGATCGAGATCCCTCTGCCAGAATCACGCCGAGGGCAGGAACACATGTGTAAGAACATGCAGGGATTCTTTGTGTCGGCCTTGAAAAGAAGGGCGATTGAAGTGTGCGAGCGCAAACTGAGTGAAGGAGACCGTGAGAAATTCCGTGAAGCGAAGAATGCCGAGGTTCGCAATTTCATCTCAGCCAAGGCGTTTGAAGCCCTGCCGAGGCATCTGCAACCGGACCGCTCACAAGCGGTCGGAATGAGATGGATCTTGACGTGGAAGGTCAAGGATGATGGAGGCGTCAAGGCCAAGGCCAGGGCAGTATTATTGGGGTATCAAGACCCCCAGTACGAATTCAGGTCTACGGCAGCCCCTGTCATGACTCGTCAGACCAGACAGCTATTCCTGCAATTGTCGGCCAACAATCGGTGGGCCATACAGAAGGGAGACATCACAGGGGCCTTCCTGCAGGGCCGGGAATACCCGGACGATTTATTCTGCATCCCTTGCCCAGAAATCTGCTCGAGTATGGGAATACCAGAGGGTTCCATCACCAAGCTCAAACGAGCTTGCTACGGACTGGTGGATGCTCCCTTGGAATGGTACAAGACCATAGCAGAATATCTGGAGAGCATTGGACTGACTCGATTGTGGTCAGATTCTTGTGCCTGGGTGTGGAGGCCAGGAGGACCGGGCACAGCAGTCAGGGGTATGATAACGGGTCATGTGGATGATTTTCTCTTTGGGGGATCTTCCGAAGATTCTGAGTGGCAGGCGATCTTGGAAAAGATAAGAACTCGTTTCAAGTGGGGCGATTGGGACTCGAACAACTTCGTCCAGTGTGGGGTTGAGGTTCGGACGGTTCCGGAAGGGTTCGAGTTGTCACAACCAAAATACCTTGCCACAGTGGAAGAGATACCCCTGAACACCACGCGCAGGAAGGACCCTAAGGCCGCTACGACGCCTCAGGAAAAGAGCCAATTGAGGGCCCTTCTTGGGGCTCTGAGCTGGTATGCCCAGCAAACGGCTCCACACTTATCAGCAGATGTCAGCCTGATGCTGTCAGAGGTAGGACAGTCCACCGTGAACACGATAGTCAGGGCCAATCAGCTGCTGAGTGTCGAAAGAAATAGAAAGGGACATAAGCTCTTGATACAGAGATGCGACAATGAGGACATGCAGTTGTTTGCGTGGGTTGATGCGGCTAGTCAGAACAGGTTGGACGGAAGCAGCACACAGGGTATCTTTGTCGGCGCGGCCTCCAAGAAACTGTTTCAAGGTGAGATAGCTGCCGTTAGTCCAATTAGCTGGCATTCCACCCGCATCGAACGGAAATGCCGGAGTCCTGGAGCCGCTGAAACACAGGCGGCTGTGAATGGGGAGGACGCTTTGTTCTACGCGAGGTTTCAATGGTCAGAGATACTACATGGCCAACCAAACCTTCGAGAGCCGTCTGAGACAGTGAGACAGACGGATGGCTGTCTGATCACAGACAGCAGAAATGTCTACGACAAACTGCAGACAGAAATGCTGGTGATCAAGGGGGCGGAGAAGAGATCGAATATCGAACTACTATCCCTGAAGGAAGCGCAGCAGAGTTCCAACTTGGTCATCCGCTGGGTGCATTCAGAAGCTCAACTGGCAAATTCTTTGACAAAGTGTGGGGGCAATCAAGAGATGGACCTGTACTACAGAATGAACTTTGCCTGGAGAATAGTCGAGGACAGTGAGATGATGTCAGCACGACGCCGGAAGTCAAAGGGTCTGCAGCCGCTACAACAACATACACAGCAGGAAGTGATCAGTTGTGTTTTTGAGAAAGAGCACTTTTAAACTCTTCAAGGGGAGCGGGGTGGCATGCAAGCGAAACAGCTTGAAGCCACTCGCTACAGGCTCTGGTGCTCGCAGCCATCGAGAGTCGAGCCACGGACGCAAAAGAGGCCAGAAGTGCTTTCGCTTGTGCTAAAGCCCATAGCCTTAGAAGCCGCCATTTCGACCCTTGGTCTTTGAGCACCCCGGCTACATCCACGCCCTTGGCGCGTGCAACCCCTAACAGTTAACGTCGTTGATGCCCCGGGAGAAGGCCATTTCGACGCTCACCGATCGGTACGAACCCGTCTCGGGCCTACCCGACTGGCGGAATCCTCCTTGAAGCTTTCCAAGGCTGGACCGTTCAGTCCATGCGCCAATCGGTCTAAAGAAGCGACTTGGGTCAGGGTTCAGGAAGTTCAGGGTTTGTGGTTTTCCCAACTGGATATGGTACTTTCTATTGCATCACTAAATGCAGGTACACAGTGGTGCATTGCTTGAGGCTTCTGGGTACATCTCATCATCACAGTCTGCCCCTGGGGCTCCAAGTATACAAGTAGTATCTACTTGGGGGTGTCTAAACCCTAAACCCTAAAGTACCTAAACCCAAAACCCTACTTAATTAGGGGTCTAAAGCCGTGCCACATAAAATTGTGGTATTTAGAGTCTCGGGGATGCCATGCTTCATAATAAAGGGCATGTATCATTAGAACAGGGTTATGGGGATATGTGTCACAACACAATGCAACGAGGAGCCCTGGGGAATCGGACTGGTGGTTCTTCAATCTTCTATATTGCAGGTGGCGCCGGCGATCATCACTGCTTTCTTCTTTACTATCGAAGTTTGTAGCCAGTACTAAGTAAAGCTGTATGCCAAGACTAAGTTTAATTGTGCCGAGGACTGCGATTACCACAACCGTTAATACGTATTGACCCTACTGCTAAGATGGCAAATGACCATCAGTGCTCACAATGTTTGTATATGAACGGACAGAAACAAAGAGGCGAGCGACGAAGGGAAGGAGTGAGAGAGGGAGAGAGCGAGCGAGCCACCTACATAGAGAGAGAGAGAGAGAGAGAGACAGAGAGAGAGAGAGAGAGACAGAGAGAGACAAAAAAAAGAGGGACCAGGTTAAAGACAGAGACTGCGAGCGAGGAAAATTCAACAGATGGCTAGCTGCGGTGGTTTTGTGGTCTTTGCCATCGCGGTGCCGGACCTTGCACGCTTGCACTTGCCCCGTCGCTGCACCCTTAAGACAGGAACAAAAGAGTGCCGTCGCAACGTTCTGCACCTCTCTGCGTATTGAACGAAGTTGCAAGACCTGTCACGGTGCACCTGCCTGGTTTGAGTTTATGGCGTGCGTGGAGATGGTTCAGCGATCTGGAGACCTTCTTCAGGGGCTTGGAGTTGGGGCGTCTGGAGCCTGATTGAATTCGACCTTTAGAAGCTTTTATGTGGTCGCCCGAACCCAAGTAGTCATTCCGATGCACATGCTTCGCATGTGCAAAGAGCTTGATACCTAAGACCTCGGCACACATCTAAGTTTGCCGATGCTCAGAGCAAACCGTCCGAGGCAGAGGCATATTGCTCTGTCGGAGATCAAAGCTGGCGACAGCACAGAAGTTGCGTGAAGTCCGTCAGTCTTGGGCCTATTCTTCATCCCTGGATGGTATTTAACTGGTGTACATAAGGTTTAGGGTTTAGTCTGCGCCTCCCGATCAAGACTCTCCATTTGGAGGAAATTGGAAAAGTGGAGGCTGGCGATCCTCCAAATGCTGCGGCAGTGCATTGATTGGTAGGGTCTCGAGGGTTCAGGATTTAGGGTTTAAGGTCAGGAGGGATATGCCACAGCCTTCCGACGCAAGGACAGCTTCAAGAGAAGTCCATTGCAGCGGTTCGTGCTGTTGCTACTACTGGCAAAAATTATTTGTGTTCTGCGTCTCTGGCCAACCACAGTCTCGTCAGCTGTATTCAGATGGAAAAGACAATCGGGCTTGGGCCTATGTTGCTGAAGCTGGTCCTAGGATACCCAGTAACCTAAGAATAAAAAGGCCTCTCTTTTTGGTATTGGGTAACTTTATAAGGAACCTAGGACTACAAAAAGGGAATAAGGGTACTACTGGGCATCCTAGGGTCTATGCTAGTCCAACAAACAACGTTTGTGCTGATCGAGTTCTCCGAGTTCACACACTCTGCAGTAGTCGACTCAGAGTATGAACTACGGTTGGCGGTGCCCCTAAACCCTGATCCCGAAAATATTTGCCTAAACCCTAAACTTCCCTGAACCGTAAACCCTAACATTCCCCAACCGCAAACCCTAAACCCCAAACTTAAACTTCCTGAACCCTGAACCCAAAATCCTAAGCTTCGCTCAACTCTCACGACAGCCTTCGAGACTGGGAACGAATAGCCCGCAGTGAGTCCGTCTTGCACACAGCCAGCTGTGGGATTCGTCGGGTTTAAGCTAGGGGCCTTAACCACTAGACTGGGGCTCCTGTAAAGAACAAAGGTTCTATAAGGGCTTCCACAGGGGCTACCATAAGGGCTTAAAAAAGGGGCCTTGCGTGGCTTTGATAACCCCTAATAACGACTAGCGACGCTGTTGAATCTCGGATCTCGGAATGGAAGGTACATGTTGAGCTAGGAGTGTGGTCATATGTACCTCAGCCGCAGATATAGCTTATCGTGACAGGAGCACCTGCCCTGCATAGTGAGTTCTACAAGCTATGACGCTACTGTGCTACATACCCCACACTCAACCCTAGACCCTGAACCTTAAACTTCCCTAGACCCCAAACCTCGAGTTTCCTGAACCCCACTCACTTACTTGCGCGCCCTGAGAACCAAAAACGGCGGGTTTAACGGCGAAAACTCATGTGTGAAAAAAACCTTGGAATTTTGTTTAGCATTTAACCAAAGAAACTTACGCAGATCACTCAAGTGCAACCTTGGGCCCTGAAGCGTAAGCCCTGCTACGCCCTAAGGAGTGTCATTAGGAATTATCGTTGGCTTTGACCGGAACCTTGAAACGGGGAAGCTGGGAAGACCCAAGAGCTGAGGCCTAAACCCTCACCGGTAGCCGAAAAGACCTACTTTTCTAGTATTCCTTGTTACGGTTTGTAGATAAGTCCTACTTTTTTAGTGTTCCTTGTTATGCTTTCTAGATACAGTTCCTTAGAAGGGTAGATCTCTTAATTGGGTCACGGGTAAGTCCTCAACCCTAGGCCTTGAGTCGGGGCTGTGGTTTTAAATAGCCCACAAGCCTCCTATCGTATGAACTTTCGGTCTAAAAGCCTGAAAATACTTAGGGCTTCGGCCTGAAAATACTTGGGGGTTCGGCCTAAAAGCCTGAAAATATGAGTCCTTAGAGCCTCAATTAGGGTTACCTTGACCCCAAGTAACCTACAATTTTCAGGACTTATATACAGAAACCATATTAGGGAACCCAAAAAAGGCAGGTTCCTTAGGGTCCAGGTATATAGAGCTTAGGGCAGCGCATCTCTTGGCCAGTGCAGCGCTTCCACACCCAAGGCTCGGTTCAGGTCTGAGGGCTTCGGTACGGGGCTTGAGTTTGGGTCTAGGGTTTAGGGTTTAGGGGTTTAGGGGTTTAGGGTTTAGGGGTTTAGGGTTTGGCTTAGGGGTTTAGGGTTTACATAGGGTTTACATAGGGTTTTAGGCGCTGGTCAGGTTTACGGAATACGCTGAAGGGGGGGATCCTTTTGTTAAGAGGGCCTTAAGTGAAGTACCCATAGCTTCAGATTTTGGGACGCAGACATGTGCGATCCAGCATTCGGATTGCACTCTTATCTTTTCATTATGTTTAATTACGGGATATTCTGCTAATTGAGGTGCATTGGGAATGGGATTCTGTGGAGTTGTAGGGTTACGATCTAGATTTTTCATGGAACTGCGCAGCTCTGCGTGGAATGCATGGGAGTGGACTGCTCTTGGTCTTCATAGGTTGCTCCAGCCCGTACCCCCGAAACATCAAATCTTTGTTCAGAGTTATAGCTAACGACATAGTTGAGGGTAGTTGGAACCTTTAAGTAGACCCTAAACCCTAAATCCCAATGTAAATCCTTTCTCGAACCCTTTAAGGAGGGTTAGTTGGGGAGTCTAAGAGGAGGGCTTACTACAAGGGTTTCAACGTTCTCTCGGAAGCCCTCAACCCTAGACCGTCTCAAATGGCTGCCTGTCAGCAACCGGTGAGTGGCACTCCGACGTGCAAATTGAGTGGGTGGCTGGCGCATGTTTTTGGGCTTAGGGTTTTAGGGTTTAGCGGTTCAGGGTTTAGGGTTTGTGGATTATGATTCCAGGGTTTAGGAACGTGTTCGAGAGTTTCGCACTATAAAGCAAGGCGATGGGAAGTGAACTTCCGGCTGACTGAAGGGAGGATAAAGCTCTAAAATCCAGATGTCTGCATGAGGTTGACCCGAAGGCCTAAACTCGGTTTGACCCAACAGGAGCAACATGACTGCCTATGGTTCCTTACTGTAACTAAATGACCCCCAAAGAACCAGCACTGCCCTTATATGCGTGAATATATATATATATATATATATATATATATACCCTAACTCCTAGCTAGCTCCGAGTTTGGAACTACATCTTCCAGCACATGATGCTGTTAACATGGGTGTCGATTCGGGTTTGCGGTTTAAGGCTTTGGGTTTGGGGCGTCGTCATCTTTGCAAGCAACACACAACCTCTGGCCAAGCGCAGAACCGACTGAACCGACATCGAGAAACAAATAAACCAATACCTGATTTTCCACAGCATTATAGAACTCTTACAAGAACCCTAAACCGTAAAAACCGCGACATCCCGATGAAACCAAAAACCTCTAAACCTTACAACCCCCTATCCCCAACAACGCTAAGTCTGTAATACAAGGACCTTCATAATGATAATAATAATAATAATAACCATAATAACAATAATAATAATAATAATAATAATAATAATAATCATGAGAAGAGGGCTGTGGCGGTTCCGGATTAGCCTAAAATCCCTACGACGAACCGCAACCCCATGTCCGAGAAACCCATCTATGGAACCCCTGTAGGACCCTTCTGGAACCCCTGAAAGCAGCCTTAAAGGAAACCCACATGACACGGAGACCCGACTAAACCCTATAACCCTGAAGAAAATAACCCTCAAACCCGAAATCCTAACCCCCCCCCCACTCCACACCCGAAGCCCTGAAAGCTAATTATACTCTCCGTCCCGATCCTGGCACCCGAACCCAGGTCATTTTGGAATCCCCAAGCTGACAGACTACAAAGTGGACTTGCGAAATTTCGGCCCAGGGGTGTAGGGATGAGGGCTAGCGCTTAGGGCTGGTGCGCAGAGCGGAGGTTGAGGTTGTAGGGCTTCGGATTTAGGGATTTGGGATTTCCCAGGGCTTGGGAAATATGAGATTTTTAGTCGAGGTTTAAGGTTTCGCGTCGGGGATTTGATTTTAGGTTTAGGGTATAAGGCTTAAAGGAAATAAACAGTTCGCGGCACCCGTGCTCACAGCGTCGGCGGATAAAACACACACCGACGATGCCACTCACGTTGCAAAACGAGGAACCCGGCGAAGGGATGGGCAACCTGAAATCTCACCTGACCTCTCCAATGGGGTGAAATTGCAGGGCCTAAATAATTCGAACAGGGTTTCGCCCCCTTCATAGTATCGTTATACAAAGGAACCCTAGAAGGAGTAGTATTGGTAACTGTTCCGGCTGCTATAATACTTGCCGGGTCAAGCGGCTTTGGGGCGAAAGTTGTGGGGCAACCCCAAACCCTAAACCCTAAACCCCTAAACCCTAAACCCTAAGCTGACATAAGGAAATGTCACAACAAGCAGTCTAGCCGCGAAGCCGCCCTTAGAAGCCTTAAACCCGAATGGTCCGGGCTCTAAGGGTTTAGAGTTCTACTATTTGCTTAAGAACACCCAAAAAATAAAAAATATATTCCTTATGGGGGTAATATAGGGATTATTATGTTTATTTTTTTAGGGTTTCTTAAGCAAATAGTAGAGTTTAGGGTTTAGGGATGTTTAGGGTTTAGGGTTTAGCATAAACCCGAAGACCCCAGGAAATAAAATCGAAAAACCTGACAGCCTGAAAGACACATGGTTCTCTACCAGAATCCGCACAGAAAGATCCCCAAGCATATGGCTCTCCAAGATTCAATCGGAGGCCTACATGCACTCACCAAAACCCTGAAGATAACATATAATACCCTTGTGGCACCCTTGTAATTACTCCTAATTAAAGTACCCTTGTAGTATCCTTCTTGTACCATGGTACTCTATGGGCCATTCTTCCTCTCGCGCCCAACCCGGCCACGGGTTCCCCAAAGGTCCAGGGCCATGCGAAAAACCCCAGGTCTTCGGAACTCAAAGACTTAGACTTAGTTGGGGGGGGGGGCGGAAGGGATGTTTTAAGTGTGGCTTAAGGGTTTAGGGTTTTTTTTAAAGTGCAGTGACGTCCTTTCGCCCGCCTCACTCGGGTTTAGGGTTTAGGGGCTAGGGTTTACGGGTTGAAAGGTTCGATTAGGTCTTGTAGTGGGCTCTTCAGCGGTTCTATATTATCAATAGGTTCTTTCTGTTCTATAGAGCTGTTTACAAGGGCAAAAAGGCTCCATCAAGATTGCATGACGAATTCTCCGCAGTTCTTCTATAAGGGGTTTGGGGTCTTGGGTCATCTTCGGTTTGGGGAGCAGGGATATGGAAAAAGGTTAAGGGTCTCGTGTTTGGAAATTTCCCCCAAATTGCGAATCCTGAATGTGACATGTCAGAACCCCCCATTAATTAAACCCTAAACCCTAAGCGATAAAGCCTAAAGCCCTAAACCCTAAGCCCTAAAGCCCTAAACCGTAGAGCCCTAAACCCTGAATTCCTAAAGCCTAAACCCAAAACCTGAGGGGTTTCGGGCTTGTGGTGGTCAGGTCGCAGGGCTTTGGGAGTGGAGGGCTTCGGGTTGCGGGTTTGGGGGTCTTGCTGTTATCGGGTCCTTAAGGGTTTAGGGTTTTGGGTTCAAGGGAGGAATAGTGCTTGATCATTGAGGCTGCTGGTAAGCTATGACGACCGTCTGCGGCTGCTACTACTTCTACTTCTACTTCTACTTCTACTTCTACTTCTACTTCTACTTTTATACTTCTACTTCTACTTCTACTTCTACTACTACTACTACGACTACAACTACTAAAAATAGTTATTATAGTAACAACAATGACAAGAGTACATGATAATTAATACAATAACCAAATAGACTACTAATGCCAATTACATCCAGAAGCCTGAAAGGTGTTGGCAACAGCCGACGGACCCGAAACAAAGGCAAAACAATGGGCACAGGAAAGCGCCCAATATGTGTGAGTTTCCAAAAATTGGGGCCCCTTAAGGTTCCTTTAAAAGGTTACTATGAGGGTACTATAAGGGTTCCTTTAAAGGGCTCTATAAGGGGTTGCGTCACCATGCCCACCTACGTCCATAACAGCGGTGATACAGCCGCGCACACCAACACAAAATGCCTCCAAATTCCTAGGCTTCTTTACAGGCCTTTCGGCCAGGTCTAACTTTTCCACACCACTGTGCGGGGTCCTTTAAATAAAGCCGTAAACCCTAAAAGCTTCGGCGACTGAATCAGGCTGTTTCTCCCTGGCCGACTAAATGAGCCCACCCAAGCTTCCTCAACATTCAACCTGGGGTTCAGGGTTTAGGGTCTAGGGTCTAGAGTTTAGGATGTAGGGTTTCGGCTCGAATTAGAATCTAGGTTTGAGGATTTAGGGTTTCATAAATTTAGGGTTGAGGGTTCAGTCTTCCCGGCTTAGCCAATTAATATAGGGGCCTTAATAACTAGAATAGGGTTTTGGGACCCATTATCCTATAGTTATATCAGAATAGTATAGGTAATTATTAAGGCCTCTATAGTAACTTCGAGATGTACCGCTTTTGGAGGCAGCTGGTTTCAGCGAGCACTTGCGCGCAGACAACCGCCCCGGCAACGGGGTTCGGAATTAGGACCTAGCATAGAGGCCTGAACGGAACCGTCATAGTATCCCGTTACCGTCGCCATACAATTATTCGAGATACCCGAAAACCCTTTTGGCTACGATGAGTGCCCGTGGCAATACCCAAATCAAACCCTACTGAAACCCAAGACACGTCAATTCACCCGGTTCCGTCTTCAGGACGTTATATTATGTATTCATGAGAACTTTCTGAGGGTTCTTTTGTCTTCCGAGTCCCGAAAATTTTGTGAGGCTTCTTAACTTATTCTTTAAGGGGTCCTTGCAGGGCTACTATAAGGGCTCTCCAAGGGTCCGTGCGGGTACCGTAAAAGCGGATCGGACCTTCATGCTTCATTCCCAAGGTTGTGTTCACGGTTTAGGGTTGCCGAGTTGTCTGTGCGGGTGCCATCTCGCTGTCATTCGCGGCTGCAGCGCCAGTGCATGAGGCTACGTAAATCTTCCGTGCTATTCAGGCCGAGTGAACACAAGGACATAAGATCGGAAATCCGTATGCCAAACCGTAAACCCAGACCTCGGCCATTCCACACCCGGATTCGAGCCGGCGATATCGGATCGAACCGCACGGGTTTCTGCGGAGCTGCACGAGCCTTCCGTGCAACAAGCTCTAGACGAAGCTAAGCACTCTATCTGGACCCTCCGTTGCAGCTCTTCTCTCTAGCCGAACAACAACCGTTTCTGGGCAAGAAGTCCGTGGAAAGCATTCCGACCCTTGGATGCATGATGACTCTTGCTCAAGATGAGAAGAACCGCGGACGTTAGAGGGCCCAAGCAAAACAACCTGATGTAGGAACCGGAATTCAAAACGTGTCTTCTACTTGGGGTGGTGTTACCATACAAGAAACGAGAAAGTCTAAGGGATGTCATTACTAGGTCACTACCAAGACCCCCCAAAGTAGGTAAAATAATGGCCCAAAACCTATAAAAGGCTATTTTTCTACATACTTTTGGGGTCCAGGTAGGTATTCAGGCCCCTACATTAGGTCTTGTTGTTTGACGTCTCGCTCTCTGACTTCTTTAGCTTCAAGAAATCTGCATCGTCCAGCTGCTTCATGAGAAGAAGGAACCTTTGCAGGTTTAGGGTTTAGGGTTGACCGATTACCCTAGGGATCTAAGGACTCATATATCGAGGCTTTTGGGCCCAAAGACCATACTACACAAGGCTTTTGGGCTATTTTGATCCCTAGGACCGATTAGTATTGTCATCATTACTCTTGGGAATAGTATAAACACGATTGATACTACTATAGGATCATTATCACTTCTAGTATTACTATCATTACTACTGTTACTACGATTAGACTTTCGGGCTTCGGATTGGAGGCTTGAAGGGCTGAAGGTGATGATTGAGAACTAGACCCTAAACAAAAAAGGGGCGGCAGTCCCGAACCGACAACCCTGAAACTCCAAAACATGAACTCCCTGTAATATGAAAACCCAAGCTTATACATCTGGACTTGAAGCCATGTCATACCCTCCACTCTACACACCTAAACTTGCATTCGCAACTACTGATCCCGGAAGCCCCAGACCCTAAGCTCCAAAAAGTGAAACTGTAAAGAGAGTACTCTGCAACAAACCTGTTGGATACACCAACACCTTCTATTCCAACCTGGAAGAACCCCTTCTTCCACTCTGCTACTCCTCCTCCTGTACTCCCTCTCCTCTGCTCTTACTCCTACTTCTGCGCGTTACCCCAACTCCTGCTCGTATGTGCTGCTGTTCATGCTCCTTCCTCCTCCTCCTCCTCATCCTCCTCCTTGCCCTGCTGTTACCACAACTACTACTACTACTACTACTACTACTACTACTACTACTACTACTACTACTACTACTACTACTACTACTACTACTACGACGGTCCCTCTAAATGAACGTTTAAAAGAACCTTAGCCTAATTGTTAAGGCCCGTCAGCCCTAAACCCAAACCCCTTATGACAGAAAGCTGGTCGAACCCTTTACAGGAATCTGTTTAAGCACCCCTACTGTAATAGAACGACGGCTAAATCACAGAGCTTTTGGAGTAACCCCTCTACTTGGCTGCTCATGGGTACTTGTAAGTGGAGTTATAAGTCCCCTAATATGGATATAATATAGCTATCTCGCTTATCGCCCCACATGAACCTCCAAGTAGAACCCGGAAAAGGAGCCCAAGAAGCTAACCCCCCCCCCCCCTGGGACTTCGGTGTTGTTGAAGATGGCAAATGGGTAGTTTCCCAAAATTAGGGGTACCTTCTTTTGGGTCCTAAAAATAAGGCTCCTGCTACTTAACCGCCCCCCTAAACCCCTAACCCCCCCCCCCCCCCCCCGCTGAGCCCCAAAAAAAAACATCGGAAGGCCAAGCGGCTCGGAGAAGTCCAGCTCCTCGGCCCGGCCGAGGCCGTTTTGAACCTTCTTCCTGCACACGGTAGGATCATGGGTTGGGGCTTTCTAGGGTCCCTAAACCCTAAACCCTAAACCCTAAACCCTAAACTTCTTATCATAGGTACTTGCTATGATCATGGTCAGGGGTTTTTCAGGGTTTAGATGTTGATAGCTATGGTCATGGTTAGGGCTGTTTAGGGTTTAGGGTTCAGGATTTACGGGCTTCGGGTTTAGGGCTTTACAATAAGTTCATGGTTAGGGCTTTTTAGGGTTTAGGGCTTCGGGTGTAGGGTTTTTTCTAAGTACCTGACTGAATATGGGGATTTTAAGAGTAAGGGGGTTCGCGGTTTAAGGCTGAATAGAGCTCAGAGCTTGGGGCTTTGGGTTTAGAGTTCTGTACCCGAATCATACATGGTCCTTCCTGTATGGGGCTTCAGAGGCCTAGGGATTTTTTGGCTGTAGTATTTGTGCGGTTTACAGGGTTGTAGAGGGTCCATTCAGGCTCGTAAGGAGTTCCAGGATTTATAAAGCTTTACAGGGCTCAGAGAAGTCGTGTTTCATAAGCACTACTATGAGGGATCTAAAGAATGTGGCTTGTGAATCAGAGGTCTACAGTCAGCTTAAGGTTTGGACATCTAAAGCATACTTGGCTTCCTCATAGTCTTCCAGTCTTCAAGCCCCGAAACCCGAAAACCCCAAAGCCTGAAAGCCCTCAATGACTCAAGGCGCCAATCCCACACCCCAAATATCCTTAGCCTTAACCCTAGGTCCAAATCCTGAACCGTACATCCTAATTCAAAACCCTGACCCCTGCACCCTAACCCGAAGACTTCTCCCAGCGCCATACGGAGGACGCTCCTCGTAACGAAGGAGAATATCCCTTCGAGCTGGTACACGAGGTTGTCCCCCAGCGGTGTGATCCTCGTGGATTTCAAGCGGGGTTTAGGGTTTGAAACGGCTTGAAGGCGCGTAAAAGGGTTGAAAAGGGTCTAAGGATCAGAAGGGTCTAGGCTTTGAAACGGTTTCAACGGGCTTGAGATGTTGCGGTTTGGGGTTTGCGTACAAGGGTTGGTGTGTATCCAGAGGCGCCGAAACGCCGATCGAAGCCATGCTCCTTCAATAGAAAGCAACTGCATATCTTAGAGGGGGCCCCCAGCCAGTAATAGTGGTATTATAGGAATATAGTAGGGCCCTAATATAATCCTTATAGTCACTATTATAGGGTGGGGGCAGCTTCTAATGCATATCATTCAACGACGATGCCGGAACCAAGAGGTTTTTGGGTCTCGTGTATTTGAGGAGTAGGCCCTGCCGGCAGAGAGTTTCGATTCAGGACAGAACCCACGGCATAAAGTATCGGTGAAACAAACCCGAAGACCCTTCAGGGTTTAGGGATTTAGGCACTAGGGGTTTATGATTTAGGGTTCACGACCACCCCGTACCCAAGCCGTGATGTACAGGGCCATCAATGTAATTAGCCTGGGGTTTGGGAGTCTATGGTACTTCGAGTAAAAATTGTCAAATTTAACATCAAATAATATACTAAGCCCTAAGACTCGAAACCCGAAACCCCAAAACCCGAACTACTAACCCCTCAACCCCTGACCCTAAACCCAAACCCTCGACCCTAAACCACTACCTTAAGTGCCATTAGAACCATAATGCAAAACAAATCCTGACAATCCCTTGGAGCTTTAAACCTAACTCTTAAAGAACAGTAAAGACACCCCCAACCCTAGAACCTAAACCCTCAACACCAAAAAGCTCAAAGCCCTGAACCCCAAAAGCTCAAAGCCCTGAACCCTGAACCCTAAACCCTAGACCCTAAACCCTGGACCCTAAACCCTAGACCCTAAACCCTGGACCCTAAACCCTAGACCCTAAACCCTGGACCCTAAACCCTAGACACTAAACCCCAGACGACCCTAAACCCTAGACCCTAAACCCTGGACCCTAAACCCTAGACCCTAAACCCTGGACCCTAAACCTCTCTACCTATAGTAATTTAAACCCTAATGACTTCGTGGCTCTTGATCAAAACTCGTGGCTCTTGATCAAAACTCGTGGCTCTTGATCAAAACTCGTGGCTCTTGATCAAAACTCGTGGCTCTTGATCAAAACTCGTGGCTCTTGATCAAAACTCGTGGCTTTTGATCAAAACTCGTGGCCTTTTGATCAAAACTCGTGGCTTTTGATCAAAACTCGTGGCTTTTGATGCTTTTTCGGTAAAACTCGTGGCTTTTGATCAAAACTCGTGGCTTTTGATCAAAACTCGTGGCTCTTGATCAAAACTCGTGGCTTTGATCAAAACTCGTGGCTTTGATCAAAACTCGTGGCTTTGATCAAAACTCGTGGCTTTGATCAAAACTCGTGGCTCTTGATCAAAACTCGTGGCTCTTGATCAAAACTCGTGGCTCTTGATCAAAACTCGTGGCTCTTGATCAAAACTCGTGGCTCTTGATCAAAACTCGTGGCTCTTGACGTTTCTCCAGTGTTTAGCGGCCTCGGGTTTAGGGCTCCAGGGTTTAGGGCCTAGGGTTTAGGGCCCCAGTGTTTAGGGGCCTCGGGTTTAGAGCCAGGGCCCCCAGTGTTTAGCGGCCTACGGTTTAGGGCCCCAGTGTTTAGGGGCCTCGGGTTTAGGGCCAGGGCCCCTAGTGTTTAGCGGCCTAGGGTTTTGGGCTCCAGTGTTTAGGGGGCCTCGGGTTTAGGGCCAGGGCCTCCAGTGTTTAGCGGCCTACGGTTTAGGGCTCCAGTTAGGGCCCCCTCCCTCCCTCCCTCCCCTCCCCTCCCTCCCCTCCCCCCTCCCCTCCCCTCCCCTCCCCTCCCCCCCTCCCCCCCTCCCCTCCCCTCTCCCCTCTCCTCCCCTCCCCCCTGGCTTCCAGTGTTTAGCAGCCTCGGGTTTAAGGCTCCAGTGTTTAGGGGCCTGGGGTTTAGGGCCAGGGCCCCCAGTGTTTAGCGGCCTACGGTTTCCATCTGACAAGGCAAAAAGAAGGATGCTAGTTGACCATGCTGGTTTCCATTTTGCAAGGCAAAAACAAGGATGCTAGTTGACCCCGCTGGTTTCCATTTTGCAAGGCAAAAAGAAGGATGCTAGTTGGACACTCTGGTTTCCTCCTGCAAAAACAAGGATGCTAGTTGACCACGCTGGTTTCCATCTGACAAGGCAAAAACAAGGATGCTAGTTGACCACGCTGGTTTCCATTTTGCAAGGCAAAAACAAGGATGCTAGTTGACCACGCTGGTTTCGATTTTGCAAGGCAAAAAGAAGGATGCTAGTTGCACACGCTGGTTTCCGTGTGCCAAGGCAAAAAAGGATGCTAGTTGACCATGCTGGTTTCCATCTGACAAGGCTAAAACAAGGATGCTAGTTGACCTGTTTCCATCTGACAAGGCAAGAAGAAGGATGCTAGTTGACCACGCTGGTTTCCATCTGACAAGGCAAAACCAAGGATGCTAGTTGCACACGAAGGTGTGCTTGTTAGTGTGCCACGGCCAAGGTTTTGAGTCGTTCTTGATCAGTTGCTCAATGCGCTGCCTTGAACGGTCATCGCAAAGAAGCTTGATAGCTGCAGTTGCTACTGTAAAGCGATGGCGTGACAGCAGCCTCAGCTGCTGTGGGTAGTGCTTTCTTCTTACACTTTCAACATTTTAACGGTAACTTACGGTCTACTTGCGAATCGACGACGGTTGCAAATATGATAGATGCTTTGAGTCGTGAGTCGTATGTAAGTTAGTATTTAATAATTCAAGCCAAAAGAAATAAAACTATAATTCTAATGTGAGGGGATTCTCTGGGCGGGTGGGGTTTATTCTTTAAGATAGCTTGACTAGAAATAGCTTGACCTTAAATCTTCAAAGTCAGAGCTGCTGAACCCTAGACCCTAAACCCTGGACCCTAAACCCTAGACACTAAACCCCAGACGACCCTAAACCCTAGACCCTAAACCCTGGACCCTAAACCCTAGACCCTAAACCCTAGACCCTAAACCCTGGACCCTAAACCCTAGACCCTAAACCCTGGACCCTAAACCCTAGACCCTAAACCCTGGACCCTAAACCCTAGACACTAAACCCCAGACGACCCCAAACCCTAGACCCTAAACCCTAGACCCTAAACCCTAGACACTAAACCCTGGACCCTAAACCCTAGACCCTAAACCCTGGACCCTAAACCCTAGACACTAAACCCCAGACGACCCTAAACCCTAGACCCTAAACCCTGGACCCTAACCCTAGACCCTAAACCCTAGACCCTAAACCCTGGACCCTAAACCCTAGACCCTAAACCCTGGACCCTAAACCCTAGACCCTAAACCCTGGACCCTAAACCCTAGACACTAAACCCCAGACGACCCCAAACCCTAGACCCTAAACCCTAGACCCTAAACCCTAGACACTAAACCCTGGACCCTAAACCCTAGACCCTAAACCCTGGACCCTAAACCCTAGACACTAAACCCCAGACGACCCTAAACCCTAGACCCTAAACCCTGGACCCTAAACCCTAGACCCTAAACCCTAGACACTAAACCCTAGACCCTAAACCCTGGACCCTAAACCCTAGACACTAAACCCTAGACCCTAAACCCTGGACCCTAAACCCTAAACCAACCATGCCCAGGCGCGAGTTGAACATGGCACGGACAGCTTCGAAGTAGAGGACCTGAGGGGGCTTCGGCTTTCGGCTTTAGGATTCAGTCTTGAGGCTTTAGGGTTTAGGGTTTAGGGTTTAGGGTTTACCTGAGGACTTTCAGAATTTCGGCTTTAGGACTTTAAGTCTTGAGGCCTTCGGGTTTAGGGTTTAGGGGTTTAGGGCTTAGGGGTTTAGGCCTTAGGGTTTAGGGTTTAGGGGTTCAGGGCTTAGGGGTTTAGGGCTTAGGGTTTATGGTTTAGTTTTTTTTAAGTGCAATGGGTCCTTTTGATTTAGGGCTTATGGTTTGGGATTTACGGCTTAGGGCTTTTATGGCTCAGGGTTTATGGTTTGGGATTTATGGTTTAGGGCTTTTCGGGCTTGCCCTAAGGCTCCTGGACCCTCGTAGTGAAATCCCAAACCCTAGCCCCCAAAGCCAAAACCCTACAGTAGCCCAGAAAGCCCAAGACCCTCTTAGGAGCCTTAGGGTCGGGTTCAGCATCTAGGAGTCTAGGGTTTTGGGGGTTATACTATAGGGGCCTTGATAAATTGAGGCCTTTTGGGCCCATTAGACCATAATGATAGTAAGGAGCCCCCGAAATAGTATTCCTGGTATTCCTGACGGACTCCAGTGCCCTATTCGGGCGCGTCCCAAAAATCAACGCAATAAATTCAAGGGTGAGACGAACAGGTTGGCCGCGCCAACCAAAAATCCTGCGTGCCAGTCCGAGGACCTTCGTGAGACTTGCGCTCTACCGTGCCCTGTACCCATTCCAGCACCTGCCTTGAAGGACGGTAAAGGGCCTGCAGTCGCTTTAAGGTAATCTCGTCTTCGGACAGCCCCGCAAGGGCTTCTTGTGAGGTCGGCAGCCTGGGACCGAAGAAGGCGAGCGGCGGGCGCGCCGCAACGTGTAGTTGCCATGCACCACGGCGTTTTGCCTTTTCTTGGGCTCTGTCAGCGGACTCAGCGTCCTTCACCCCTGCCAGGTCCAAAGGTGGAATGACCAAAGTGCAGCGCTGCAAACAATCGTGATGCTGCCGCAAATGGTACTGCACGCGCACCACAGAATGTAGCCACTTATGACAGGCAAGGCAATAGGGCAGTGGCGCAAAGTGTCGCGAGGGCGAAAGGGACCCATGCGCCCTGGCCTCATGGACTGCAACATGTTTATGAAGCGGGAAGGCAGCTGCACACCAGCGGCATCGGAAGGGCAGCTCCTGCCCGTCGGGAACCAGTGTCGGTCTGGGAGCCTCCTCGAGCCGGCTCCATTGCTGAAGATCCTCTCCGAAGCCCTTGATGGCAGCACGAACCTGAGCAATCCACCAATTTTCCTCGGAACTGACAGCCTCCAGGAGGCGCTGAACCGGCGAAGGGAGGGAGAGGAGTGTCTTTGCAGCGTCGCAGTAAACCGAGACAGCCCGAAGATCAAGCTCGAACATAGCAAACCACGAATTGGTAGGCTTGAGACACCAGTGCACGTGGAGCATATGAAGCAGCGGAGGAGGTCCGGCAGCCAGGAGCCTACGAAGAAACACAGCCCTCGCAAGAGCAAGTGCCAACAACGGCGAAGTAGCCCCTGCCGTGTACAGCACTCGATAGCTGTGAACATGTTCGTCTTTGGTCCTGCGTTTAATAAGCGAGCGCCACAGGCCCACGTAGTGCTTGCACCAGGACCTCCGATGGACCGCGCAGGTAAGGTCGGTGATGGCACTGGCAAAAACAAACCGCGACAAGACCAAAGAGCGAAGTAAATGGATGCGAATGGTAAGCGGCACCCCTGCATTCGCAAAAAGCTGTTTGCGCAGCGGCTTGAGCACAGTAAGAGCCTGTGAGTGCCGAAAAGCAACCTCCGAAGCTGAGGCACAGTTGGCAGTTACAATACCACCCAGATGCCGATACACATCCACAATCGGCAAGAAGTGCTGTCGTCCCGTCACAGCATCAGTGATCACATAACCTGGTCGACCCTGAGGGTTTAGTTCAGGATGTGGATCTGCAGGACGAGTGCACAGACTAGGCAAGAGCACGGCAGACTTATCAATGGCAAACGTAAGTTCGACACCAATAACAGAGGCCAGCTCCAGGTGCAACGTAGTCGCCTGACGGACAACCTGGTGGAGGGCCGGCTCATGCGCAGCTTGCTGAAGATGGGCGTAATCGTCAGCCCAAGACACATGATTCATGTTGCAGTCCTCCGGGGGATCATACCAGTCCGCAGCATGAGGACAGGCAGGAAGGCAGGTGGACAAGCCACGCGTGGCAAGAGCAGCATCAACGGATGCAAGATATCCGGCCATGCAAAAACCGAAAAGCAAGTCGGCCAAAGGGTCGCCGGGGCGGCTACCACGAGCCGTCATGGTAAGAACCGTGGACTTGTCGAGTCTAAACCACGTGCCACGGAACAAGTCAGCCACAATTGCCGTAGCATGTGGGCTGACTCCAGCCTCCGGGAGGAGGGACAAGTTGGAGAGGTGACGATGCAGCTCCTGTGTCGCCTCGGCCGGCAGGCCGAGTTTGTGTATCAACTCAAGTAGAGGGCGATCGTCCGACAGCGAAGGGACCAGGGTATGTCTGACAAGCCGATAGTACGCAGCCTTGATGTCATAGAAGGTCACAGCTGCAGTGTTAGCCTGCCGAACAAGTAAACCCATGAAGGAGCGAACCATGAGGGCAACAGTGTCAACACCAACCCCGCGGGAGGTGCCGGCCTGGAGAGGCCCTTTGAAGGCATCAAGGCGCGGCGCCAGCTTGGACCGGACCACACGATGGAAGAGCTTCCCCATTGTACTCGCCATCAAGATCGAGCGAAAGTTATCACATTGCAGTGCCGCAGCCGCCTTCTTGGCAAGCGCGACAAGACATCCACCGCGCCACTCAACTGGCTCACGGACTTGCAAAGCCGACTTGAGGAAAAGTGGCATGATGCAGATTGCCGTACACGGGGGAGAGAGGCGGTAGATTTCGGCTGTGAGGCCATCCGCGCCAGCTGCCTTATCAAAGTGCAGAGAAGTGATCTGGCTCTCAATCTCACCCAGAGTGGGGAGACAATGCACATCAAAGACGGGACCACCAGGTAGCACGGGGATGTCCGGGTTAGCAAACTTCGTCGAGTAGTCAGACGCAGAGACAACAGTCCCTGCCTCTTGCTGTGCGCGAAATAGTATTGGTAATTATTTAAGCCCCTGTATTATATAATACCCTTATAGGTTTAGGGCCCATTATGCTATATTTATAGGTAATTGCTTAAGGCCCTAGTATACTAAAGCCGCCGTTCGATCCAAGCGGCTCCCAAACCCTCATCGTTTTGGAGGAAGAGCTCGCGGAGATCCTGGACATCTGCCTGGGTGAAGCCTCACCAGCAGCTCGACTTGGAGGACTTAGTACGTAAGGTGAGCCTTAGGGTTTAGGGTTCCTTTAAAAGGGATCTATAAGGGTTCCTATAATGGGATCTATAAGGGTTGATGGTCTACTTGGAGGATCATGGGACTTAGTATGTAAGGTTATAAGTACTTTAATTGGGGATATGAGTAGTTATAAGTATAGTTACCCTAATTATAACTCTAGTTACTAAGTCCCATGATCCTTTAAGGAGTTAAGGCTTCCTTTAAAGTATGGTTTAGGGTTTAGGGTCTAGGACTTTACTGGAACACCTGGAGGGAGCCCTGCCTTAAGGGCTCCTCCTAGGAGTTGCATGAAGGGTCCTATCATGGGGTTCCTGGTAGTGTTCCTTTTGGAGTCCCTTCAAGGGCTTCAGGCTAGGAGCATCAAATGTACGGGCCTTAATAATTAGAACAGGGTTATGGGGTATATTCTGCTAGACTTATAAGGAAACCCCAAAATAGGAAAGGCAACTATAATGGCCTCTACATTAAGGCCTTGCAGCATCTTACAGCCCTGAAACCCCCAAGCCCCTAAAGCCCCCACACCTAAGGTACGAGAATCTGGCTTTCACACAGCAGGAACATACACCCCTTGTCATTAGCAAACCCTCCCCTTGCATTCAAAGATGGACCCGGTGGATCCCAGAATTGAGGTGTAGGAATCAGGAGTCCTCAAACCGCAAATGCTGAATGTGGAGTCGATTTGGGAGATTTGGCTTTGGGTTTAGGGTTTAGGGTTTAGGGCATTGGGTTTGGGGTTCAGGATCTACAGCCAGACTCTAAACCCTAAACCCTTGATCAAAGGACCTGGAGAGATTTCTGGAACTCGGCCTGTCGTCTTGATGGCCGACAACTCCTTCTGGGCACGCTCCTTGTCCTTCCCAGACAGGCTCAATATCGTGGCCTTCATACATAGACTATGGTCATGGGGTATATGTATATATATATATATATATATATATATATATATATATATTACTGTAGTATATCTACAATGAATAAGAAGGAGTAGTACTTCTCTTTTTCAAGCCTTACATAACACTGCCGCGGCTTTGGGCCCCAGGGATGAAGCCTGTATCAAATAGCATACAAAACCCACGCACACTTATTTATACATGTATGTAGACATAAATATGTATGTGTATATATGTACCGATGTATACATACACGTGTATATGTGCCTTTGAGATCGAGGCCCTTTCGGCGGCAAGCCCCAGTTTCGGGATTCATGCTGTCACGCATTGAAACCGCTGTTTCCTGAAACCTTAAACCGTAACCACTCATGAGTGCCTGTCGTGTTCGGCTTTCAAAACAGTATGGACTGGATGTTGGGTGGGTGATTTAATGGTTACATGGGAATTAGCAGCTCTTGGTCGCGATCCTGTGCGAGTCTTTTCACAGTCTGCTCAAAAAGCAGGTTTCTTGCTCTTGATCTCCTACCCAAACCACACTCGAAACCCAACGAAGGCCCTAAACACCGTCACTAAAACCCTGAACCCTAAACTGCAAAACCCGAAACCCTAGGGACCCAAAACGAAGCGCAACTACAAAGACGGAGGTTCGACGACGCGCCTGGAAGTCAAGGACCAGGCGCATCAGCTTCAGGAAGTCCTGAAGATATGGCCACGAAAGGGCGCGAAGTGGAGTTTAGGGTTTAGGCCACCCAAAAAGCACGAAATATGTGGTCTGAACCATTTGAACAAGTTTTTGTTTCAGAGGGGGGCGTGTAAATATCCGTATTAAGGATCACTAGTGTTTATACTAACAACAAGTAGCACCGACCATTCCTGCCCCTGGATTAAACGAACCCAGTACGATTGGGATATGCCATCACCCTCCCTATGTTTGAGACAGACATTCGGTGAGAAACCACACGGAAGATCACATCTCAGTGGCGTTGTGGCTTCTGAGAATACGGAGGGAGCCGTGTTGGACTGACACCTTGAGGGCCTTTGGGCTTGTCGGATGTCGCCTCCTTTGTCTCAAAAGTTACAGACAGTGACGTAATATAGGGGCCTTAATAAGTAGAATAGGCTTTTTGGGCCAAGTATACCATAATCATAATACGAAACCACCAAAATAACATAGGCAATTATTAAGGCCCCTATATTAAAGGTTCCCGGGTTTGGGGGGGATTTGGGGCCTTTGGGACTGACCACTCGCAAGCTCAACTCTAGGAACTAAGTACACCAACAGAGTGATGCTGATCGTGACCTCTGCAAAGGTTGATGATCACGGTTATCACTGCTACCTATGCAGCTTTCCGGACTATACTGTATGAACCAGAGTCAATAATCGATGCATCCCCGACTCGCGATACATGCAGGGCGAATGGGTCGCACAGCAGTACTACAGGATTCAGGGTTTAGTGTGAAGCTGCACATGCGATGGGTTCTCCAGAGCGAAGAGAACACTGGAGCAAACATCCACTTCCAGACCGAGAACAGCTTACCAGCCACGTCACCTCATCACCATTGGCCGGATGACCATACTGAACTTAGAACCTTAGCAAAAATTATCATTTTAGCTGTTTCTTAGGGGTTATAATAACAAAAAACAAGAATTATTTCTAAGTACCCCTAAGATGATACAAACAAACGAAGGGCGAACACCTTGTTCCCTGAACCCTTCGTCGGAGCTTCGCAAAATTCACGCCACAGCCTCGGGTTTACTTGCCTTTGGTTAGTAGGGAATGGAGGAATGAGGTACAATTATAACTACTATTGCTACCATTCTTCCATTCCCTACTAACCAAAGGTAAGTATAGGGGCCTATTACCTATATTATTTTGGAGGTTCCCTATTGGGATTCTAGTATCATATACCCCTAAAACCCTATGGTAAGTTTAGTGTTCCTGGTTCCCTTCCGAAATCACTCCCGGATTCCCTACATCCTCGAAGCCGAGGCTGCCGTCGAACTCTTGACAGGCCTGGGGGTGGGTACGATAGGGGTGGGTGGGTACGAAATACTATTTTGGGGGTTCCTTCTCATAATCATAGTATAATGGGCCCCAAAACCCTATTCTCTATTTTGGTGTTCCTTCTTATAACAAAAGAAAAAATGGGCCCCAAAACCCTATTCTAAAAATGAAGGCCCCTGTGGTAGGTGGGGTAGGGCCAGTGTGTCGGGGCCGTCGGGTCGGAATGATGATGACGATGCCTATTACCATAGCCAGTGCCGTTGCTAGCAGCTGTGTTGTTATTGCCGTCGCTATGATACGTCGCCATGATATGCTTTCGGTCATGATTATACCGATGGTTACAAAAAAAAGACCAAGTTATGCTGCTACTGCTTCCACCAAAAATACTAACAGTGTACTAATCACGCAGAAAGCAGAGAATACTGCTAGCACTGGCCAGAAAGGCACAACAGAACCTAAACCTGAACCGCACCTCAAACTACAACCCCCAGAAAACCTTAACCCGAAACCCTAAACTGATATTCTTGGTAGCCATGCCTGCATCATCTGTTGCAGCTGCGGTCGCAGGGCTTTCCTCAGTCGATAAGTCCCGTCTAGTGTTTCGATGGCTTCAAGGTTTTGATGTGCGGTCAAAGATCTGAGGAGTAGGCGTCTTAGCCGTCACGGGGGTAATGAGGCCTTGTTGGGGCTTTGGCGGTGGGCTTCCGGCACCCGGGGCCCTAGTTGAAGGGCTTTATGCCATACTTCGGTCTTACCAAGAAGCGTAAGGCTTTCGTGCTTTAGCCGTTTGGGAAGTTGATCCCATGTCTCTTCCAAGCAATCCTCAGGGAGGGTCCCTCATGGACAGACTCTGGGAGGTTTCCTCAAGGATCGGGGTTTGAGTCGGGGTTTCAGGGTCTAGAGCTTCCAAGGCTTAAAGACCTCGTTCGGGAGAGTATGAGAAGTGAACCTCAAGTCAAGCTGCATGTCCACAATGAGCCCTTGCAGCCTCCTAATTCCAAAGTCCTCAAATCCCTAAGCCTAGGTTTCGGGGTTTAGGGGTTTCGGGGTTTCGGGGTTTAGGGTTTAGGGGTTTAGCCCTAAGCACTAAAGCCTTGCAGCCCAAACCCTAAAAGCTTCAACACTGACTCCTCAAGTGAACTTAGAACCCTAGCAAAAAATGTATTTTTAGATGTTTCTTAGGGGTTATAATAACCAAAAACTAAAAAGTATTTCTAAGTACCCCTAAGACTCCTCAAGTGAAATGAAGCTCAGGCTATCAGCCCTCAGGCCCATCCTTAAGGTCCCCATGGAAACCTTGAACCCAAATCCCTGACCTTTTCAAAGCCTACAACTTTAGATACTTTAGATCTGTCAGTCATACTTGGAGGATCATGGGACTTAGTAAGTCAGGTGATAAGTACCTTAATTTTGGCTATAAGTAGTTATAAGTATAGTTACCCCAGTTATAACCCTAGTTACTAAGTCCCATCTTTAAGTAAGTCTTCAACCCTAAAAAAACCCTAAACCCCTCATCCTCAACCCTCGCCTCAAGCCCCCAAAATCTCTAACTTTTCAGCCCAGCCCAGACTTGCTGCGGCTTCCGCCACTTGTCGCCAAGATGCTCCCGGGCCAAGGACGGGCAGAGGTTGTCTACTAAACGCACGAGCTCCTGACAGGGGTTTAGGGTGTTTTACTAGAATCCCAATAAGGAGCCCCCAAAACAATATAGGTAGTAGGCCCCTATACTTACCTTTGGTTAGTAGGGAATGGAAGAATGGTAGTAATAGTAGTTATAACTGTACCCCATTCCTCCATTCCCTACTAACCAAAGGTAAGGACAGGGGTTTGGGGGTTCGGGTTTAGGGTAGAGAGTTTAGGGTGCAGGGTTACTGGGCTGGGCTCTTTAGGTTTTGGGGTTTGGGCTTAGGGTGTCGGGTATAGACTTATTGGCCTTTAGGGTTGAGTTCAATTATTGGGGTGTAGGCATTCAGGATGTTGGTCTGCGCGTTCAGACTCCTGTTGAAGGGTTCAGGGTATGGGCCTTACGCAGGCTACGGTTTAGGGTGTAGGGTATGAATTGGAACTTTGACGGTTTACCGTTGAGGGTGTAGGGTTAAATTTGACTAAACTGAATCAACCTTCAACCTGGAACTCTGAAGGCTCCTGTCCAAGTGTTGGCTCATGACGCATGTTTGGGCATAATCTTGGAGGCCTCAAAAGGTGGGAAGGTAGGCAGGATGAAGGACTCCTTCTAAAAGAACTCTCATTTCTTGGGGGGATTGCCCCACCTGCCTTCATCCTAACTTTCGCGGACCATGGTAATCAAGCGGGGCCCATTATACTATACTCAGAATAAGGACCCCCCAAAATAGTACAGGGTTTGGGGATATGTTATTGTGTAAATATCATACAGGGACCCCAAAACCCTATTCTACTTATTACGGCCCGTAAGTTATAGTACCCTTACAGATTCCTCATAATAGCCCTTATAGTGCTCCAATTATGAATGCCTCCATATTAAGCAACAAAAACGGATCCTTGTTGGCGATCTTGCCAGTCTTCCTCGAGTCATAGCCTGGCTTCTTCACATCGGAGCTTTATGGCCGTGTTCGGTTGGGGTTAGGTTTTAGGGTTACGTTTTAGGGTTTTAGGGCTTTAGAGCTTAGGGTTTAGGGACCCTAATAAATCCTAAAGCCTGGCCTTGCGGTTTTGAACCATTTACAGTAACCATTTGGAAACCAACCGCTAACTCCTAAACCCTCAACCTGCTACACTCACCCTAAGGCTCCAAATAGCCCAAAGTAGATACCATGTATAGACCTTAGAGCCCAAAGTAGGTAGTATTTGTATACTTGGAGTCTCACGGTGGGGGCCGCCAGAATGTGACCTTGCAGTTGAAGCAACGCATGCTGGAGCTCCAGTAGCAAAGATAGGGCCGCAAAAAAGCACATAAGCAAACATATGGTTAGGGATATCCCACATAAACCCCCTTATAATGAAGCCCATTAAGTTAGGGATATCCCCATAGAATGCTCATGCTTATGTGCTTTTGGGGTCCCTAAAAAGAGGCGGAAGAATAGAAGAGACGCTGTAGTACATGGGTCGCAACGAACTAGCAATAGCAGCGCCGCACGGTCCTGGCATCACTACGCCCAAACCCTTGTCCTTGTTATCAAGGACCCTACAACATATTGCTTCGTACACCACCCTTCTGATGCGCGTTGCTACTTGCTTACCTGCTGCTGTTCGTCCTTTGAGGTTTCCAGTGCTCCAGATCTTGACGTTCTGCAAGCCTCAAGGTCTGGAGCACTAGAAGCTTCAAGGCTGTCAGTCCTGTCTTCAAACCCAGCCCCTAGAAAGGGAGCTCGAAAAAAGAAGCTGAGCCCAACACTAAGTGTGATTTCCGAAGATGTCCGAAGCGATTTGGCCGTAAACCATAAACCGCCCAGTTCCCGTCTTAGATGAAGGCAGACGCAGCAGTGATATTGGTATTACTAATGATGGGGCCAATGTCACTGATCATCAGCATGATGACGGCGACAGTGATATGAAGGCCACGATAGCCGCTGCAGCAGTACCTATTTTACAAGACTACTGGCCAAGAGCAATAATTTGATGACAAACACCTCAACGCTCAACTTTAAACTCTAAGCCCAAAGCCCGAATGCCTGAACCCGCAAGTCTACATTCGGTGCTCTACACCCGACGTCCTGAACCCTTAGCTTAAACTCCATGCCCTGCGCCGTATTATAAAGCCCCTAGCTTAGCAATTAATCTCAAAGCCCGGGGACTGTCGAAGACGTTCTTGAGCTCGGTTACCTCCTCGCAACGGGACTGCAGGAAGGTCAAGCCTACATGGTTTTTGAGGCCAAGGTCCATATACCTGATATAGGGGCCTTGATAACTAGAATAGGGTTTTGGTGTACATAAAAAAACCACTAAAGTCACTAAAGAGCCACCAAAATAATATAGACAAACATACAGGCCCCCGTATTAAGTCTCTGGGTTCATCCTGCCTCCTCGCAGCTGACGCTCTTCGATGGGATTGCGCAAGACTTCTCAACGGCACTTCCAAGCATGTTGCGCCGTTCATCATGATGGTCAGTTGCATTCAAACTTGGGGGCCTGCCAAGCTACTTAATTCAAATTCACCTCACGTAGGTAGTGCTGCAAGTATAGTCCCTCGAGAACTCCAGAGCCCACTAGCACCACTGAACCTTAGACCTCAAGTCCTAGATTCCAAACCCTACAACCCTAAGATATGAACCGCCGAGCTGTACTGGAAGTCCGTCCGACATGCCTGAACCTCGCGAGCTCTGCCGAGCTTTCATACTAATCCTACTTGTAGGATCACAGAAAATGGAGGGCACATAAAAGTTATGGTTACTATATAGCAGGTTAGGGGAGCCCGCCTGTTTAGCTGCGTAGTACCCAGTTTCCTGAACCTTCAAGTGCCCGGTAGCTGATTGATTCCTACGCGCAAACTCCCCGAGCCTGACGTTGTATAAACCTCTCATTTGGAAAATGGATCCTAGGCACGCGGAATTCATGAGGCAGCACCTTCGAAATGCCTCGATTCGTTAGATCCGAAGCCATAAGCTCCGAACAATACCGAATTCGTCCTCGTCACTGAAGCCACCGTTCAGCTGGAAGGTCTCCCGCATTTCCTGTCTCCAGACTGAGGAATCATTGTGGCGATGCTGTTGCGGGTTTATGACTCATGATTTAAGGCCATGTTTACTGTGGGTTTAGGGTTTGGGAGCTTCGGGTGAATTTGCAGTGCTCAGTGGATACGGCGCAGGGCAACTACAATGGAGTGTAAGTACACTGAACATCCGGCATATCAAGCGATCGAAACTTGCAGAAGCCGTGCACCCTCAAACCAAAGCCCAAAGCCGCAGCCCTGAAGCGGCCAAAAGCCCGAAACCCTACTCCCCAAACCTCACATCGCACACAAAAAGCACCCCCTACAACCCACAACCCACAACCCTAAACCCAACAACACTGCAACCCTCAGCAGATATCAGCCGAAGGCTTGTGGACACTGTAGAGGACGCGAGGACTTGATTGCAGGCTCAATCAGCGTAGTGAGTCGGCTTCTTGAAACTTCCGGGGCAGGGACAAGCATAATGATGCGTCGTCAGGGTGTTTCGGGGGCCTTCATAACTGGAATAGGCTTTGGATAACGGGTTGATCCTCAGGAGTCTACATGATGAAACTACGCTGTCTAGGACAGCTTTGACTGTACTTGTCTACGTGGTCTAAATGGTCTAAAGGATTTGGGGCTCGGAGATGCTCAGTATGTCGCATCTCTTGGTTTTGTGGCTTAGGGTTTTTGTCAGATGTGGATTTCGCGTATCAGGTAGGCTGAAAGGAAGACCGTGCACCGTCCGTTCCCGCCTGCGCAAAATTGCAGCAGGCGCGGGTGAAGGCATCCTCTGTGATCTCATGGTCCACCTCCGACTCATTCACCTGTGGGTTCTATACCCTGAACTGCCTGAGGATCAAAATACACCTGCGGTGTCGAGGAGTTCAGGCTTTTGGCTTAAAGTTTAGCGAGGCTCGCGTGTATGCATGCATACACACATACATGCATGCATGTGCACAAACATACAGTGGACAAACCTACACTATAGATGAATGCAAGCATACAGACGGGCATACCGGCACACACGCAAATTATGCATGTAGGGAGACGGGCAGGCAGATGGATGCATGCATGCACGCACGCACGGCGGGATGGATGGATGGATGGATGGAGATGGATGGATGGACGGATGGATGAATGGATGCATGAGGGAGGGATGGATGGATGGAAGGACGGAGGAAAGAGGGCGACACGCACATGCACACGCGCACACACACACACACACAGACACAGAGAGCGGGGCACGCCCGGTACATCCTCTGAGACGCTTAGAGGCCCCCAGTCGGAACAAAGAAAGACATGCTGTACGGTTGATGATAGAAATCCTACATTACCCATAATAAGGAATATACCATAATTCCCATAGTTTAGGGACCTTAAGGTAATGCAGGATTTATATCATCAACCGTAGTACCCGGATTGTAGCACCCTGTTGATAATACCCATGCAGTACCCTTAGTGTAGCACAACAAGTATGATGCCCTCGCAGTACCCTTCTCACACTACTTGGAGGTTCATGAATAGTTATAAGTGGGGCTATAAGTAAGGTAACTAGAACTATAACTCATATTAGGGGACTTATAACTCTACTTATAGCTACCCATGAACCTCCAAGTAGGCCCTAAATCCTAGTATAGAATCCCTACCTATAGATCCCTTTAAAGGAGCCCTCCAAGTACTGAGCCCTGGACGCCGTCGTTCGGAAGCCCGGTGTCGTCGCGGGACACAACGAAGTGGCGCCTGTGTTGGGTGCTACGGGGATGTAAATCCTAGGGTTCCTTTAAAGGGATCTATAAGGCTACCTTTAAGGGGCTCCTTTAAGGGATCTATAGGGTTTTAGGGTTTAGGGTTTAGGATTGATGATATAAACCCTGCATGACCCATAATAAGGAGTATACAATATTTCCCATAGTTTAGGGCCCTTAAGGTAATGCAGGATTTATACCATCAACCGTAAATACCGGGGCCTTAATAATTAGAGTAGGGTTTGCGGGTACATCATACTATATAAGTATTAAAAGGGACCGAAATGGTACAAGTACTTATTTCGGCCCCTATAGTAGGCCTCTACAGTTTTACGGATCAGAAGCTTTAGCCAGGATGTGTTGAGGGTTTAGGTTTAGCGTTTCGGGGTTCAGGCTTTGGGGATAGACTAGGGGTGTCAATGCTTATAGTCTGGGTGGAGGGTTTAGGGCCGTTTAGGGTTTAGACTTTTCGCATGTTACGATTTACGGCATTGGGTGTTGGTTTTGAAACTGAAAGAACATGAGGAAGAACTGGCGGATCTTCGCGGAGCTTCTCCATGACATAAGCCACTATGTAGTTAGAAGAGGGCTTGGGGGCTAGGGACGATGAGAGGAGACTGTTACGGGTTCGTATTCCGCCCCCATGGTTTCTATCCCGGAACTTAAACCGTAGAGCCTGTCACAGAGCCTGTGTCTTTCAACTATGGTCATACTGTTGATGGACAAAATCCTGCAATACTCTTTATAAGGAATATACCATAGTTCCCATAGTTTAGAGTCCTTAGGGTCATGCAGGATTTTGTCCATCAGCAGTAGTAAACCTTGAAGGAACGCTGGAGCCAAGCCTTTCCAGTTGACAGCCCACCGTTCGTCCGATCTCCTCGTGCTGGCACGGTCCGACATATCTTGGGTGGTCGTCAGGGCTGAGAGTTTAGAGCGTAAGATTTAGGGTTTTGCATTTGGGGTTTTGCGGTCTTCGGGGCTTGGGACTTAAGGCTTAAGGCTTGCGGTTCAAGGCTTACGGTTCAGGACTTAGGGCTTATGAAGGTGTACAGTTTAAGTTTGAGGCTTAGGGCTCTTGTCGAACATCTTTAAAACTCATGGTTAGGAGTTACAGTAAAAGCCAGAAAATTGGAATATGATTATCCAAAACCCTTTATGGTAAATTATAGGGTATCCTACCCTGAAACCATATTCCAACTGTCTGGAGTTCCCTTTAGGGTTTTGGGTTTTGGGGGCTTAGAATTTTGAGCTTCGGCTTCAGGGCTTGTAGGTCTGCAGCAAACCTGAACCAATTAAAAAAAGAACTTGGGAAGGATGTTTCTCCGGTGCTAGGAGGTTCAGGGGCAGTTAGAAGTGGGCTTATAAGCAAGTTAACTATACCTATAACCCATATTTCGGGACTTACAACTTGAAACTACACTTACAATTACAACTACCCATGAACCTCCAAGTGCTTCTACAGCCTCGGCACTTCCGGCACCCTCAAAGGTGCAAGAAACAAAGAGACACTGCAGGGTTTGCTGCTTGAAGGGTTCTCAACAAGCCCACCAACACAACTTCTGGCTTTGCGTGCCTTCATCAGCCTAGACGCCTTCATACCGAAACCCGATCGAACCTTCAACCCGACCGCCCTGATAGTTAAGACCCTTATAAAGCCCGTCTAAGCCCCTTACTTAGCAAACAACCCATAAGGGTGGTTGTCAAAATTATGCTCCCTTTTTGGGTCCTTATATAATACGGCACCTATTATTTTAGGATACCCAAAAAAGGAACCTTAATTTTGGCAACTACCCACCCATAAACGAAGCTCCCGAGAATGAAGCGGCGTCTCCTGTGCTGCCTGGATCGATATCAGCGAGCCCTGTCAGGAGACTTTTTGGCAACTTCAAGCTTCCTTAGGGCCTTTGGGGTTTCGGGTTGCGGGTTAAGGGTATAGGGGCTTCGGGTTTAGGGTTTCGGTTTGGGGTTGAGGGCTTTAGGGTTTAGGGTTGAGGGTGCTCGTCTTTTCGAGGTATGATAAGCCAGGTTTTAGGCGTCAGTGTTGAGGGCTATTTGGATTGAGGGTTGATTGGTAAAAGCTTTTGGCCGCTTGAGCATTTGACCATTTAATTCCCCAGCCCTAAACCGCAAAAGTCCTAGACCCTAAACAGTGCTGTCGTAGGGACGAGTACGCGGAGTCATCCAAATCGGATTGGACAAACAAGATTTCCGACAAACAGTTGCCATTTGGAATGGCCGTAAATCAGAACATCATCCAGAAATCCGTGGGCTTAAAGGGCTTCAGAGCTTAGCGATCGAGTCGGGCTCGCGGGATCAAACGGTCCAAGTCGTTTGAGGCAGCCAGATGCCCTTAGCCACGCGCGGAACCCGAATAAAAACACTATTCTTCTTTTAAAAAGCACTTCTAAGAGCAGTAAAGTTCTACCAAGTTCCTAAAACCGCAAATCTCGAGGCTTTTGACCATCTTCGGTCTGGATGGAAAATTTAGGATCAGCTACACGTTCAGGGAGCACCTTCGACTTGCCATAAAATCCTGAGCCACCTCGAAGCCACAAAGCCCCGAACCCCAAACCCCCCGAAAACCAAAAGCACGAACCCTATAAACCTGCACCCCGATCTCCAATCGAAATGTGCTGATGTGTCTGCGAGCCGCTTTTCCAGATTTCCGCATGGCGTTCCGGAAATGGTGGGCTTCCTTAAGAATCGGCTCTTTGGTCGATAGCTTCATTGAGGCGAGTGTTTCAGGCCTTGGGTCTATAGAGTCTGGGTTTAGGTTTTAGAGTTTGGGGTTTAGGGTCTACGCTGTAAGGTGGTACTTATGTGCTTTCTTCGTCCGCAGCATGCATGTGCTTAAATGGTCTCATCGGCTGCAGACGGACTTGCCGAACTCTCTAAACTCCAAGCCCCCCAACCCTAAAGCTGAAGCCTATCTACTGTTATGCCAAACCTTTAAACCGCACGCCCTTAAACGTCAAAACCCACTTCAACGGCATTTGGCTCACGAGGCGTTTTCAGCCGCACTCTTTGTAGGGTGGAACCAATATAACTTATTGATTGTAGCAGGCCGTGACAGTTAGAATTGGGTCTTAGGATATATGATACCATAATTTCAAGTTGAACCCCTTAGAGACTGATTAGATTAGTAAACCTGTCCGACGCCTTTATTACAGGCTTCCACACCGTGAGGTGAAAGGTTCTGTCCTCTTGTCTAGGCTCTTGGGTCGCACAGGTTTTGTGTCAAGGGGGCCTTTCAGGAATAGTAGTACGTACTAGTTGCACAGGCAGCTACATGTGAGTAGTGCAGGTGAGAGTTTATGCTGGTTGAACTATATTGAAGAGTTTGGGCTTTGGCTTTGAGGGATTGAAATTGTAAGTTGTGAACTCTGACGAATTGGTGACTTTGGGGGAATTTGGATTTGTTGTGTACATAGAAACCTGGATGGCAAGGAGCAAGAACCGTCGTCTACCCTAAACTCAGGGGCCGACAGCCCAAGAAGGACCTCCCTTCGGTGCTTTCTGCGGTTTCTGCTGGGTTCGGCCCAGCGGCACTTCTGGATTTCTGCCCGAAAACCCCTCCCAAAATCCAAACTTAAGTTCCGAAACTAAGCCCTGAAAGCCCTATGTCCCGAAGGCAAGACAAGAAAACCGTAAAGTAGAGCTTGGAGTGCCGGCTTTTGAGCCTACAGAAGACAAGTCTGTCAGCAAGTCCGCCAATCCATGAACCCTAAACCCCTAAACCCTAAACCCCTAAACCCTAAACCCTAAACCCCATAAATCATCGGGCTCCGAGGGTCTCTCTCCTGGAGCATGCGGATCATCTTGCGGAACTCAATGAGGTTCAAGGTGCCTTTTTTCCGCGAAGGCTCAGGGAAGCTGTCAGGGTGTCGGGCTTACGTGTTCAGGTGCAAGGTATAGGGTTCAGCGTTGTGCGGTTTAGGGTTTAGCGTTGTAGAGATTTGAGGCTCGAAGGGGGCTCATCAGCTTGAGATTATTTTGGGGTCTTGATGTCTGGGTTTTGCCGGTCAAAAGTCTGGGCATCTGCTTGGTGTGGCAAACACCGTGCTATACGTAATATGGAAGCCTCAAGGCCTCAAGTACCCGTATCATCCCGACTCTCAAACTCTATACATGGAACTGTAGACTCGAAATCGGGCAAACTCGCACCTGTATCGTCGACATCAACCTTGGCGACGATGCTCTGCACGGCCTGGGATTCAGGGTCTTGGCTTTCGGGATGTTGGGGCCAACACCCCCAGCCTCCGGGAGCGAAGGAAGCCAGGGTCGATGGGTTTACGATAGGTACTTGGAGGATCATGGGACTTAGTAAGTAAGGTTGTAAGTAGCTTAATTGGGGTTATAAGTAGTTATAAGTATAGTTACCCTACTTATAACCCTAGTTACTAAGCCCCATGATCCTTTAAGTAGGTATACAAGCAGCTATTATGACGAACTATGCCTGCTCACAACTCAGCACGACAAGAGACCACAGAGCACGGTCTGCAACACAGGCTGTACAGACACTTAAACGTGCGTGTGGGTCTATATATAAGAGATATGCATGTATAGATGTATTAAAATTTATTGATTTGTTCATTTATGTATATATATATATACACATGTCTGTGTGTGAATATACTTGCGCATCCTAACCCTGAGCCCCAGAGTCTGAACCTCTTGAGTTGAGGGCCTTCGGATGGTGCCTACATATTGGGCCTTGGCTGCTACCCGGCCTCGGGGAGTAGAATAGGTCGTTCAAATACTAGGTTTCTGAGTAACCCCTTCATAATAAGGCGACCCTTTTTCCTACTATTCGGTTTTAATAAGGGGACCCTAAACTTAAAAGGGCAAAAGGGCAGTACTCAGGAACCTAGAATATGAGCGGGGTCTATAACGGGTCGACTAAGAACTTATCGGGTCTTACTAAGTAGTATGTGGCTCAGCGGGTGGGGGGCGTGGGGGGATATATTCCTGCATAACCACATAAGGACCTTCGAAGGGTAAAGGTACTAGAACAACTAAGGCTCCTTATGGGGACTTCCTGGCGTCAGACCCTAAACCCTAAACCCTGAAACCCTAAACCCTACACCCCTAAACCCTAAACCCCCTACACCCCTAAACCCTAAACCCCTAACGCCTAAACCCTAAACCCCCGGCCAGGGCCTCAAAGGTCAGCTTGTAACCAAGCGCCCGGAGAGCCTCCGCGAGGTTTGCTTAAGTTTAGGGTTTAGGGTTTAGGGTATAGGGTTTAGAGGTGTGGGGTTTAAGGTTTAGGGTGAGGAGACTGCTGTCATCACTACTTCGAAAGGCATTTCTGCTCCCCTCCCCCCCCAAGGCATTATTGGGTATGATTGGAATGCCTTCCCCCACCCGCCCACCTGGGTCCCTGGATAAGGCACATGCCTGAATGGCTGAATAGGTACATGTCTCAGTGCGCGCTCTCATCCCTTCTTTTTTTTCTGTGCTTCCAGTTGCTTCCCCGCACTGGTTGCGAAAGTTAGTCTCCAAGTGCCGGCTGCAGGGTTGCACCCCCAGACTGGGCCTGGCAGGTGTGAAATAGGAGAGATCAGGAGAGTGAGTCTGCTGTTCCGCCCTGCGTCCTGGGGTTTGAAGGGCGACGGGGGAAGGGTTCATGGTTTAGGGTTTAGGGTACAGTTCCCCGTATCACAGGTGGCCACATTGACTGGTGCAATGCACAGATGCTCACACGATCTCAGGTGCCCCATCTGAATCGAAACGGCGGCCTGATTTTGTGTTGGAGCCCGGTACCTTCTACTATGTCTGCCAGAGCTCAGCTGGGCAACACGGGCAGTGCCTGCCTATGCACCTCACGCACAAAAGCTACGAAGGCACTGTCAATCGCCACGGGTGCAATCTCGTTGAACTTGTGGAAGCAGTAGAGCGAATATTGCTCGTTGCTCACCTGCGGCGCCTTTGTCTCGCCGGCCTTCTTTGTTTTCAGCAGGAGGTCGAAGTAGCCAGGAGTCCGTTCTCGGATCTCGGCCCAAGTTGGCCTCGGTTGCACACACAATTTTTCCTGTCATTTGAAATTTTAAAAATATTTTGCAGATCCCCGTTGCTTCCGTTCCTCTAGCCTGCATCCTGGATTGCACTGTGCTCCTGTGACCCAAAAGCAACCCCTTAATCTCGGGCCGAAAAGGGGGGGTTGCTTATCTGCTACTCAGCCCCGAGCCGGCCAGGGGCTAGGCCCCGGCCGGCCGGGATTCTGGAATTGCTGCGTCTGTAGTTGACAAGTTCTGAGCAGTCCCCGGTAGAGTTCAGCAGCGACTTATTTCCACAGATGATTTTCCACTGCGCCTCCGGACGCGGTGCCGGTTCGGAGCGTGCTACACTCTCAGACTCTAGCCTTCTCTGGCCTTGCCGACTGTTTCCCGACAAACAGATCGCACTGCGCATGGCCCCAAAGGTCACGTGTCTCTTCCACTGGATGCCGCTTGCTGTGGAAGAGATTGCCTTGCCGGCAGTTGTTTATTGTTCTTCTTGTTCTTCTCGGGCTGCACGTTCTTGGTTCGCTGCTCCTTCTTCTTTGCCGGGGGCACCTTCTCTTCTTCGGCTGGTGCGTGCTCTTGGCCTGCGGCTCCTTCGGATTCTCCTCCAGCAATTTCGCAGCAGCCGCTTCAGCCGCTTCACGGGTGGAGAAGCGCCCGCCGTACAGGCGTCGGCCCTGTCTAGTGAACTGCACGAGCCACTGACCACGACGGGAATCATACTTCAGCCCCGTGGAGGATGGCCGCGCAGTCTCAGCTCCAAGCCTGGCGCGGTATTCCAGAGCTTGCGTCTCCGCACGGAATGTGCGGCTTCGTTTCACTCCGTCTACCCACGAGGTGACCCTCCAGCGGCCGTCGGATTCCTGGCACAGATTGCGGAGTTCGGTGCAGTCGTCCTGCACGCAGCAGGCCGTCGCCGCCTGCGTCCCTGGCTCGTCTGGCTCGGATTGGATCATGACCCCTGGCTCGTCTGGCTCGGATTGGATCATGACCAAAGACACCACTTGCACTTCTCTGTCCAGCAGGATGACACCTTCCTGTAAACGCGACACAAGCTCCTCTACAGTCTCTTCTGGATGGGAGGCAGGGATGAAGCAAGTGCCGTCGCACGGGCTCTCCTGGCGTCACCGCCAGGTAGCACGACATGGAACACACAGGAACACACGCACGACACGTGTTGCTCCTCCAAACCGTGCTCCGAGGAAGAGTCATCCTCGAAGCGCCGCTCCATCTGTGAGGCCTGTGAACTGCAGTCACCCCGAGGTAGCACGAAATGGAACAGACAGGAACACACGCACGACAGGTGTTGCTCCTCCAAACCCTGCTCCGAGGAAGAGTCATCCTCAAAGCGCCGCTCCATCTGTGAGGCCTGTGAGCTGCAGTCTCCAGACCACACACCACTTGGCGCCAGACCTCCCGCCTGGCTGCCGTCCCACTCGTCCGAGGAAGGCTCCGGCGTCATCTTCCTCAGCGTGCGCTCAAGGTCCCCAATCGCATGCAAGAGGCGCACGAAGGTTTAGACCTTTCACCCTGGCTGTGCGGAGGGACTGGCCGCTCCTATCTTGCAGGAGCACGAGATAGCCTCAAAGCGGGCAGGTGGCCGAGCACGGCCCGTTTGTTCAACACCCAGGATGTGTCAACACATCTCCTGTCCAGTGTGAAGCCCCGGCGACTTGTCGCGAGGTCCAGACCTTGAACAGTTCCGGCATGGTCGTTGAAGGTGGCGTCTTTCTGCAGTCCTCGTTTGCCGCTCTTTTTTATTTACGGGCGGGGGGGGGGGGGGCGAAGGGTTGGGGGTTATTGCTCGCATTTTGTCCTTGGATGATGACCTCCGTGCCAGGCGCGAACTCCTGCCAGCGAACGGTTCAGTACACGACCCCAACCATGCCTGCTCTGGCCGTCTGCCTGCAGACCCGGCGCCAGGGCGCCAGCGTTGCTCTGCGAAGTTAGCGCCTGTGCCAAGGCCGCATGTGCTGGGATTTGCGCCCGCGCGCATGTTCCTTGCGGTGCACATGGTCGCACATGCCTCCAATTCCAATGCAGCTGTGGACGCTGCCGAGCAGCATCCGGAAACTTCCGCGACATGGTTGAAACCGTCGACGTGGACATCATCTCCTGTAGACTGGTCGGCTTGCACTCCACCTTCGGCAGGGACGTCATCTCCTCTAGACTGGTCAGCTTCCACTCCGCCGTCGGCAGGGATCTCATCTCCTGTGGGCTGGCCAGCCTGCGCGCCATGTTCGGCGGGGATCTCCTTTGCAAACCTTGCACACCAATCCGGCAGCAAACCACGCGCGCAACCACGTGTGCCCTCGCAGACCCGTGCCAAATTACACAGCTCTTGACGATGCAACTGTTCCGTCACCGCCGTGTGTGTCAACACGCTCAGGAGCATCTCTGGCCGACAAGAGTAGCAGGCAGCCCGGCCAAGGTGCACTGCAAGCCTTCTGTCTGTCCGACTTCCGCTGCTGCTTATTCTTCTTGGTCGGCTTGCCCGGGCCTGTGCTGAGAAAACCGGGTGGTGTAGACGGCTGTTCCCGTGACCCAGCTCAGCCCCGCACGGCATGTACCAAGGCTGCCACGGTCATGGTGCCTGCAAGCGGGACAGGCGCCAGCGATGACTGCGGCTGCACCGTGTTCGAGCGCATGTCTCATCAGGCACCCTACTCCGTGGGCTCGCATCAGCATCCGTCCCAGTGGTGTGGCCAGCGTCTGAGATGTAGCACCAGTCACAGAGCGGCTGCCAGGCCATTTGTTTCCTCACTCATTGCAATTCAGGCTCCGGCGTTTTGGGCTCGAGCAGGCGTGAAGCTCACGCTTTCTCCCTGCGAAGGCTGGGGGCCCAGGATTTGGTGTCACGACAGTAGGCTTAGGAAACACGGTCCGAGGCAGCCGCCGTTTTTGTCGGAGTTGTGTAGCGCAACTGACCCTCCAGACCTCCGAGGCACACCCAGGTCAGCTCGATCTACCATGGACCCGCTCCGTGCCATGAGACATCTTGCCTGGCGTCTCCACTTTCTGCACGGCAGGCTCTGGCACAGAAGTCGTCGGTGCACCTGCAACCGGAGGACTCCGGACGCCGGCTCAGTGGACGAGCCGAGCAACGGCCACCGTCGAGTCACGAAGGGAGCGAGACAGTTGTGCCATCTCACAACCACCAGAGGGGGCAGAGGGAGGGGACAGGGGAGCACCCCATAATATCTTCGACGTACATGTCCACCGCTAGGGATGTAGAGGGAGAGGGCGGAGAGGGGAGCACAGTCACTACCCACATGCACAGCGCAGCTCACGAAGATGCACAGAGCATTGGGCAGATCCCCCACACACATCAGAACGGTGTGACGTCCGCGAAGAAGCTGACGATGCACTCCTGATTGACAGTGTTGGAGGCTGGGTGAGGGCTTCAAGGGGCAAAGACGAAACGGTCGATTAGAGTCTAAAGGGCCTCGCTGCCCGGCGCTTCTGGCTGACGGACTTCTTTCCAGCTCTAGCCGGACTGCTCGATCAGTCTGTAGCGGGTGACTTGAAAGAATGCGTTAAGAGTTTTCGGGCTCAGATGCTTCCGACGACGAAGATGCGTGTCGGGTATCGGGACTCAGATGTGGGTGCTCACTGACTTCAGGCCACCAAAAAGAAAATCACACGCAGACTCTTCACCAGCATCACTATCAACGAACATCCACAAGCCATCCTCAACAAACGTCCTCAGCAGTGCAACCGTGTGGAGCACGACGCAGCGAACTTAAGACTCCAGACAGTGCGCAACAACCCGGCAAGTACCAGAGCACTCCTAAGAACAAGAATGGTGCCTCTCAATGTGATGAGCAGGTTCCTTGTCGAAGGTCAGTGCCAAGAGTTCGTATGTCAGCCTCGGGTCCGATTCCACGATTATTTCCGATATAGGTTCAGATACGGGTTCGAATACGAATCGGCAATACGGGTTGGAATACCAATACGGCTTCCAACACGGTTTCAATACGGGTTGGAATACGAATTGGGCTGGACGGAATACGGTTTGAATACCGGTTTGAATACGGGCTTGAATACGGGCTTAAATACGGGTTTGAATACAGGTCGAAAAAGGAAATACGGGTTTGAATACGGTTTTGAAAACAGGTTGAAAAACAACATATTGGTACAGATACCAGTGAGAATGCAGGTCGAGATACACAATAAGATTTTGTGACAGGG